CAAGAACCATCCTGCTGTCCTTCTCTCACAATGTGTTTCAAATCATTCTTGTTTCCATTGCAAGGAAGGGAGGGAAATACATTATAAGAACAGAATGTTTCTAAGTGTTTCTCTCCTTTTTCTCCAGGAATAGTCAAGCCTATCCCTAGAGAAACATGATCACCAGGTGAGCCTACATGGATCTGAGTGGAGGCACCCACTGACTTTGTCTACTACAGTCTCCCATGGATCCCTGATTTGGGGGAAAACAGCTGGGATGCATTGAAGGACAGATAATGCAATCAGAGGAAAGATTCCAAGGTCAGTCTACATCATATTTATCTCAAAATGTGGGTGAATGTTCTTCTCTTCAGGCTCTTTTGTGGGAAGAAGGCAGATGAGCTAGTAGTAACACAGTAAATGAAAATTATTACATATATCCCTATGTCTAAGAGGAAAATTGAGAAAATCATTTGACTCTAAGACTTCAGTGACTACACAGGAGAGGAAGGCAGCAGGGAGAGCAAGCTGTGCCTGTTGGGAGCTTCATTCTGCCTAAGATCTCAGTATGGGTTCTTCTGGCTGAATTGGAAAGGGCTTGTGCTGGGTCTTTGGAAGACTCCCTGAGTTTTTGCAGAAGAAAGTCTGCTGGGGACAGTTGCTTGACAGTGGTTAGTCAGGGTTATTGCTGCAGGTTTATTTCTTGTTAGGAAGGGCACTTGCATGGCCACTTCATCTCATTTCTTCACTTGTTTCCAACTGGAACAGAGAGTTTCTTATTCATTTGTTTGTTCCATTTATTTGCTTGTTTGTTGTTTTACTAGGGAAGATAATGAATACCGAGGTCACATTCGAAGTGCTCTAACAGGAAGTTTGAACAGAGTGCCCAGGGCATTGAAGATGTGCAGAATAGCATGCGGTCATGGAAAGGTGACATACAGTTAAGTCTTTTTATTTATTTATTTTTAAATTTTGATACTGGGGGCTGAACCCAGGGGTGCTTTACCACTGAGCTACATCCCCAGCCATTTCTAATTTTTTTATTTTGAGATGGGGTCTCACTAAGTTACTGAGGGCCTTGTTAAGTTGCTAAGGCTGCCTTCAAATTTGCAATCCTCCTGCTTTGACCTCCCAAGTTGCTGGTATTAAAGTTCTGTACCACTGTGCTCAGCTCTGAGTTAACGCTTAAATGAGGAAAAATCAAAGTGTACTTGGTAAAATGTCAAAAGTTTGGGAAATAACAGATGAGGTGAGGCAGTTAGAGTGTGACCATATATTGAAGGTTGATTGGTGAGTTTTAGGTGCGTGAACATGACCCCTACAGTGACACTTGCTTACCTCATCACTGTTCCAATCTCCTTATTCCACTATGGAGGGCAATTTGGTGATGTCAGAACTACAAATGCACATACTTTTTATGCTAACTTTTCTACTTTGGAGAATTTGTCCTACAAAAAATATTTGCAGCTGTGTGAAATAACTTATAAAGTTCTCCATTGCAACATTGTTTGTAACAGTAAAAGACTGGAAACATTTGCAGTGTTTCTGGTCAAATTCCTAGGTCTTTGATCTACTTTGAGTTGATTTTTTGCAGGGTGAGAGATAAGAGTCTAGTCTCTTCTATATATGGCTATTCAGTTTTCCCCAACACAATTTTTTGGTTTGTTTTGGGACCAGAGATTGAACCCAGAGACTTTTTATTGCTGAGCCGCATCTCTAGCCCTTTTTATTTTTTGAGACAGTTGCTGAGGCTGGTCTTGAACTTGTGATCCTCTCCCTCAGCACCGTGAGTCTGGGATTATAGGTGTGTCCTACCCCTGGCCAGCACCATTTCTTATGGTTTATGTTTTTGGCACCTTTGTCAGGATCAGATGATTACATCTATGTGTATTTGTCTCTGTGTCTTCTGTTACATTGGTCTTCATGTCTACTTTGATGCCTATACCATGCTGTTTTTGTTTCTATAGCTCTGTAGTATAATTTGAGATCCGGTTTTGTGATACCTCTGGCATCAGTATTGCTTTGGCCATTCTAGATCTTCTACTCTTCCACACGAATTTTGGGACTTTTTTTTTTTTCTATTTCTGTAAAGAATGTCTTTTGTATTTCAACTATAATTCACTTTTGGTGATATGGCCATTTTGACAATATTAATCTGCCTATCAGAGACCATGGGAGGTCTTTCCATCTTGTGAAGTCTTCTTCAATTTCTTTCATTTTCAGTTTTCATTTTTGAATGGAGTTGTTTCAAGGAAGACCAGTAAAGTAGAGGAAGGGAAGGCAGAGAAGGAAAAAGATAGTACTGGGAATTGAAATTTGTTTATATACATTTATAAATATGTCAAAAGGCACCCCACTATTATGTATAACTATAATGCACTAATAAAAAAAATAGGTTGCAAAGGAATGTCCATCAATGGTTCCTGTTAAACAAATTAAGGTGCATTCATACAATGGAAAAAAATGCAACTATAAAAAATGAATAAGGAAACTTCATGTAGATTTGGAAGGTTCTCTTAGATACATGGTTAAAAGAAAAATAGCAAGGTACAAAAATGTATAGTTTTCCAATTTTTAAAGAAAGATGACAAATAAGAAATGTGTATGTGTGTGTGTGTGTGCGCACGCAAGGAAACTCTGGAAGAGTTAAAAAAAAATGTAGTAATGAGCTGGGGTTGTGGCTCAGAGGTAGAGAGCTTGCCCACTATGTGTGAGGCACTGGGTTCAATCCTCAGCCCAACATAAAATAAAAAATAAAGATATTTTTGTCTACCTATAACTAAAATATGACTTTTTTAAAAAAAATAGTAAGAATGGCTATGAAAAGGGGGGGAGGCAAAAACTGCATACAGGGGCTACAGAAATGGGAGGGAGACTTTTCACTGTATACCTTTTTGTGGGTATTTAAGCACACAGATGTATTAACAAATTAAAATATTGAATGAGAGAAAGTCTCTTTCATTCCTTTTTTTCCTCTGCAGATCTCATTTCTGCTTATCACTTCATCAGAATGTTCTTTAAGAAGAGATATGTGGTTGCAGGGCTTCTGGCAGTTAAGGGAGAAACACACAAGTCTTCCTTATGCCTATTTGTAAAGAGATGCATTGTTGGCATCTAGTTTGAATTTTTTTTTTTTTTTTACCAGTGTGGTGTTTTGATGTACATGTATACTTGTGAAATGTTTAAAGTATGCTAGTTGATGTATTCATTACTAGTTTGAATTTCTTTTTTATTTGTTCTAGATAGTAGAATGTATTTTGACATATTATACATACATGGAATATAACTTCTCATTCTTCTGGTTGTACATGATGTAGAATTATATTGGTCATGTAACCAACCATATATGCACATAGGATAGTAATGTCTGATTCATTCTACTATCTTTTCTATTCCCATTTTCCCTCCCTTCCCTTCATTCCCCTTTTTCTAATCCAAAGTACTTCTTTTCTTCCCTAACCAGCCCTCGCCATACCCCCCATCCCACCTTCCCCCCCAATCTGCTTTTACTCTTTACTCTGCAAAGAAGATGCTGACATTTTAATTATATCAATCACTCCTCTGAACAAACTCTTCAGTGGCTTTCCAATTATTTTAGCTTGAGGTGCTGCAACAAAATACCATTAGCTGGGTGGATTAAACAACAATCTGTTTCTCACATTTCTGAAGGTTGGGAGTTAGAGATCAGAGTGCCAGCAGAATTAAGTTCTTGGTGAGGACTCCCTCTTTCTACAGAAATCTGTCTTTTTGCTGTGTCCTCACATGATGGAGAGGGAGCTATCTACCTGTCTGGATTCTATAGGGGAACTAATTCCATCTTGAGGGCTCTACCCCCTTAAACTAATTGCTTCTCAAAGGCTCCACCTCCAGATACCATCACATCAGGATAAGGGTTCAACACAAATTTGGGGGCACACAAACATCAGCCTACTGTACCAATGTTCTCAAAATAAAATCCAAAATTGTTAATATGTCCCTCTTGCCCAGACTCCTCTTATATTAGGACAAGCACATGGCTAGTCCCTGTCTAAAGCCCTTTCTCTCTACTCCTAAACCTCACTGGTACTTGGGTGAAGTATCACTTTCTTAGGGGCTTTACCTATCTCAAGTCTGAATTAGGTTCCCTTGTCATTATTTTTAAAAAACAGAATCTTTAGCCAGCCATGGTGGTACATACCTGTAATCCCAGTGCCTCAGGAGGCTAAGGCAGGAGGATCTTGAGTTCAAAGCCAACCTTAGCAACTTAGCAAGGTCCTAAGCAACTGAGCAAGAACCCGTCTCTAAATAAAATATGAAAAAGGGCTGTATTTAAAAATAAAATGTGGGAAAGGGACTGTAGCTCTGTGGAAAAGTGCCACAGGTTCAATCCCTGGTACCAAAAAACAAAAACAAAAACAAGAATCTTCTCTCTTACTTTGTAGTTTTTAGTAGAGCTTATATTGTTGTCCCTTCAGTATCTGTGGGGAATTGGTTCTAGGGTCCCCTCCCCCACCAGGGATATCCAAATCCATAGATACTCAAATAACCTTATATAAAATGGTACAGAATTTGGTATGGTACACACATTCTTCTGAGTATTTTAAATTCTCTCTAAATCATTTAAAATACCCACCACAATGTAAATGCTGTGTAAATAAAGAGTGTTTTAAATTTTGTATTTTTTATTGTAATTTCTTCCCAAATATTTTTGATCCAAAGTTGTTTGAATCTGTGGACACACAGAGGACCAATTATACATACAAGACTTTCAAGTTTCTTATGAGTGGGGACTATCTCCATTTAAATACCTGTGATGGCCCCAGAGATTAGCACAGAGACTGGCATGTAGGAGGTACCCAAATATATGATGAATGTATGGCTAGGAAGAAATTGGCATGATCTGAGATAACTGAGATTTGAGAAGAGAATCTGAATTTGTGTGGTTGTGGTGGAAAAGGAGCAAGACAGATGTAGTATTGGTGGAAAAAACGCAAGACACTCAATACCTTTTCCTAATAGTCAAGACAGGCAAACAAAAGGAAGAATTTTATTTCCTTAGTTTATTAAAGATGACAATGAACTGTCAGACTGTGTGACAACTATAGCAAGTAGATATCAATCCAGTTCAAAACATGAGTTGTACACTCACAGAACATCTCTATTTAGATTTTTGCTCCTTTTAATTCAACAAAAGCTCTAAAACTTTGGCAAAGAAAGTTAGTAATGGCCTCATTTAAGTGACAAATGTTTGCCTTCTGCACTTTCTTGAATCTTGTCCCCACCTTGTAAGTAAACATTCCCCCCCCCTTTATGTACAGAAAAGAATACTTTTCCCCCTCCTGCTTTATTTAGAAGAAGCTCTCTTAAGTGCATTCAGAAGATTCTCCCCACATCAGCAGGAGCTTCTCAGATACTGTTAAGTTGCAAAGTGCTTTCAAAACATCCTATCCTCTGCCCTCTCTCAAATAAATAAATGAGTATTTGGACAGTTATGATAGCATAGTGTCCAAGCCACCAAAACACACAATGTAAAGGGATGGGGCCAGGAAGGTAGAGAAAAACAGTGAAAACTCAGGAGCATGTCAGATTGTTGGATTCAGCTTTGATCCTATGTTGATATGAAAAAAGCAGGATAGACAATAAGAGAGTCTCTCTCTCCTCCAGTGTAGTGACTTGGAGCAAGGAGCTGGATTTGAAACTTAAACCAAAACTGGAAGTAGAGCTCATCATACGTAACAAATCTCTCAGCCTAAATCTGGGGCCTAATCCTTAGTGAGACTTCAATTATGTAGGGTCATTCCCAAAGTTCCTGGAAGTTCTAGTCCTTCAAAGCTTGGCTTTCAGAGCTTCACCATGTACTCAAAGAACAGCATCAGGGTCTCTAGCCTGACGTAGCCCTCTGAGCCCAAGTTTGAGGAAGAGGAATCAACACTGTGGGCCAATTCCCACATGTTCCCTCTTGTTCTGGTAGAGCCTCAGCTTTGGCTATTACCTTAACACCCCTTTCACTTCTTTGTGAGACTCCTTGGTACATTTAGCTCAGGCACTTATTGGCTTCCACCAACCTTGTGCAACTTGCTGTTTGGTTTCCTGGGGAAGTACCCAAGCCACTTGTTTTCCACTAGCAACCAACCATGGGAAAACAGGTATACAGGAAGAAGTTGGTCCCAGAACAAAAATGCTGTGGGCTTTAGTTCACAGAGCTGCCAGCCCTCAGAAAAGCAACCCTGACCAGTGTTTTACATTGAGGTTAGGAACTATAGCAACTTATAGCTCGAACCTATACCCTGTCCCATCCAAGACCTTTTCCTGTCAAAATACACATTAAAGTGGGGAGTGGGAGTATGTTAAAATTATAATATGAAAAGGATGACTGAACTAATGAATATCATCAGGCTAGATAGAGTTAAGTGCATAATCGGCAGAAAGGTTCTTGTTATTCCAAGAACACAGGAACATTCACATTCACATCCACAAATTGTCAAGTTCTCTAATACTACCAATGGGGGAATGTTTAACCCCAACTCTGAGAAAAGAAAATAAGGCAAGAGATCAGTTACCACAGAGGGTCCCAGCCCTGTTGCAGGAAGGGGACAGAGAATGAAGTTGGGCTTTATTCAGAACTACAATGACCACTAAACAGGACAGAGCAGCAAGGAACCCACTAGTAAGATGGTGGGTGGGGTTTCTGTCCTCACTTAGGATGGCATCAGGGACTTGCCTGAGCTTGAAATATCATACCTACACTCATTTTGAGTTAGGTTAATTAAGGAGACCTGACCACTTAAGAGGAGGCCAACAGCTCCTCTAAATAAATACATGCTCCTTCTGTAACAGAGCCTCATTTATGCTTGTGGTGTAGGCTACAAATTAGATTGGCCTAAGCCTCAGTTCTGTTCTTTGCTTTAGCCCAGCAGAGTAGATAAAGAAATTTAGCTTGTGACATCATCTATGCTCAGAATATTTCAAACAGGAAAATGATGGCTGCTTCCTTGAGGTCTCTAAGGATTCTGGGAAGGTAATGATCTGTTCTTTGGCTCCCAGAGTACCCAATCAAACTGGAGAGAATGTCCATTCTCTGCTGCTTCTCTAGGACACAGTCTGATCCTATTGCAGGACTGGGAGAGAGAAAACTTATCCCCTTGTTTCAGCAGCAAAGGAGAAGAGTTGGTTGAGAAAGGCCTGGTTCAGAAGCTCCAGTACAAAAACAAAGTAAAAGTGGAAATCAGATGCATCTACAACCAATCCCATCCTAGTGAAGAAGGCCATGGATGTCAGAAGAATTGGTTTTCACTGTCCATTCCCCTGACAAGAGGCACTAGAAGCTCTAAAGACCCGCATGTCAGTTCTGATGGAAATACCTGGTCAAATTATCTGTCACAAGAGACTGGACCCATCAACCTAACAAAGGTTGATGACACATGGACGTCAGACAAGTTATTAAAATAAAAAAAAAAACAATGATAATGAATTTTTTAAAAAGCCCCAACTGGGGAAAGTCCTCATAACAGTGGCTCAGTTCTGCATTATATGTGATCCCAGGCCCTAGACAGAGGGCTTAAAGTGCTTTCTTCATGTGGTCTCCAGGACAGTGGCTTCTAGAGCCAAGGCTTCAGTGGGTTCCTCTTCATAGTCTGACATGTAGGACTCCAGGCTCTGCTTGGCCAGCAACTCCCGCCGCGCCTGTAGCCGCTCACACCGGGGACAGCTTCCAGACTTGAAACAAGCTTTATGATAACATGCTTTACACTCTGTTCAAGTTGAAAAGGTGAGAGAGAGAAAAAATAAATTTCTATTATTTTACTTGCTTCAGGCTGGAAGCAAGTCATTGCTGTAGCCCCTTCCCACTACCAGGGCTAAGAGTTCTGGTGGTGAAATATAGGAGTTGCTGAATCAAACCACACTCTTGCTAATGGAGATGGCTCAAAGGAAAGAAATTAACTTTGTGTTCAGTCTTTCTTGCCCCACTCCTAGCACCAGCCCTTACCTTCACAGGTCCGACATTTATGGAGCTCAAAAGGAAAGATGATATCCTCCTCATTCTGACAGAACTCACAGATAAAGCCCTTGGCTTGGCAGAGCTGAGGAAGAAAGAGATAGATAGCAGAATAAGGGAATGGCACAGGGGAATTCTAAGGAGAGGACAGGCAAAGCATAAATAAAACTGAGTGGCGTAAGGGATTCTATTTCCTACAGAGGAGAGATTGGGGCTGGATTTAGCATGAGAGCCAAACTTGAGCCAGCACTAGACTGTAACAGACAAAACTTTAAGGTGGAGAGAAGAGAGGCACAGACTTGAGACACTCCTACCACTAGAGTGTTTCTCAATGGAGAGAGAGAGAGGAGGAAGGAATGGTGCTATCATGAACTTCCTAAAATCAGTATTACAGTCTGGCTAATGATTTTATTTTGAAATAGGAATACTGTCAATTAAGATAAAATGTGAAGACATGGATGTTTCCCAAAAATAATACCCAGTCTCAGGTCAATCTGGAGTGAAGTAAGTCCAATACCCCCAGAGACACAGGAGTCTCTACATATATCCCATTTTGAGCTCTCATTCTGGGACTGCCACAGGAACATAAAGTGGGGAGAGTCCAAGATGGGAAGATCTAAAAATGGAGTTTCTGAATTTCTGGCATGTTGAGTATAGGATGAACAATAATAACTCATACTTGTAGAATACTTAAAATTTATAAAATGGTGTCATATAAATCATTTCATCAATCTTCAAAAATACTAAGAGAAAAAGATAATACATATAATTCACTGCAGAGATTTAAAAAATGAGGCTTACCTCAAAGAGAGCAAAATCATTTCTTTTGGTTACAGTATTGAAAATAAAAAAGCCAAGACTCAGAATTCTTCTCCAGATTCTAATCCAGAGTTTTTTTTCCCACTTATAACAATTCTTTAGTGAGGACTGCTCTTAGCTACCCAGGAGCTGCCAGAACCAATTTCTCTTCTAATCTAGGTTCTACACAGTTGGATGACTGCAGTTTACTAATCTAAAGAACAGCAATCCTTTTCAGTTTCTCTCAGAGTGTCCTCAGCCATCCCAACTTTCTGAAGCCAATCAGGAAGAACCTGGGCCCACCTGCTCCTTGTGTCCTAAAGCAAGGTCTCAGCTGCATGCTAGAGTAAGACTTTCTCACCATGCATCGCTCTACATGGGCAGTCCCTGCCCTGGTGAGCTCGGCAAGCCGGGGCCCCAGCTCCCCTTTCCTGGTTGTGGTCAGGTCACTCAGGGAATACAGGTGGAGATCCTCTGTCAGGTGGCCTGGGACTGTGTCAAAGGAATCCAGAAGCCTACAGGGAAAGTTGGGGGGGCGGGTAGCGAATGAACATTTTATATGTCACATTGTACAGAAAAATCCCTATTCAAAGGGGAGAAAGAAAAGCTAATGAAAGTGGGCAACATTCTTCCAGTGTTCCAGGCCACCTAGCCTTCCCACACCAACAGGTATCTGGATGACAGAAGTGACTTATTTATAAACTCCTGCAGAATAGTCCATACCAACTTGCAAAGAGTGGTGGCCACATATTCCCCACTCCAGAGAAATTATAGATACAGCTACTGCTGTGGCTTCTTGTATATCATTTCTGGACATGTCTGCAAAATTCCCCTATTTTTCTTCTTCACATAAGAATCAACTACTAGGACACATCCATGTCAAAGAAATTAACTCATTGGGAGGACTGGCCTCCACACAAGACTTACTCTTTGGCCAGTCGGCATGTCTTAAACATGTTCTTCATGTGATACAGCTGGACCCGCAGCAGCTGGAAACAAAGACGTTTTGGTGGGGAAGTGTGGAGAAGAGGAGAGAATTGGCTGTTAGAAAGAGCAGTATCTTTAAACCCTGGAGTTCTGGAAGCTTTAGATGTAGCAGCCAGAGTCAGACTGTATTCTCTTAACAACTTGTTTCAAAGTGATCTCTAGTCAGAGAAGGCCTCTCTGCCAGGTCAATCTGCCCAATCACAAACACTGTTGGCAGCAACTGAGAACTCTGGAATTCATATTTCCCCACCCTATTTTCTATTCAGTAGTATTTTCAGTGGAGAGAGAAATTCTACTTTTGCCACCCAGCGTTATCTATAGCTTCAGAGCTGCCACTGCCAGAGTTAAGGCTTTGACTAGACATGGAGCTGGGAAATAGGAAGAGATTGAGAAAGTACTAGAGGGCTAGGGATATAGCTCAGTGGTGGAGCCCTTGCCTGGCAAGTATAAAGCCCTGGGTTTGATCCCCAGCACCGACTCCCCTGCCCCCAAAAAAGTACACAGAGCATGAATGATAAAATGGCTACAGCTCTGACATTATGAAAAGGAGTATGGTGATCCTGGGAAACCCTACATGAAGAGAAAAAGGGGATATAGGGAGAAGGGTAAGAATCTATGGTGTGATCTTTTCAAGAGTCTTACTCGGACTTGATTGAGCAGCTTGACCTTTCTATAGAGAGTGCTGTTAATGTCCTGCACATTGAAGAGAGGATCGTTCCATATCTTAATGAGCAGGTCCTTAGAGAAATTGCTGATGTAGTACTTGCTGAAATCCCACTTGCGCAGAATCCGGCTAGGGATAACCATCTGAGCATTCTCATGACAGCACTGACAGAAGTACTTTCCCAAGTACTCACAGTACCGCAGCCGTTTGATATAATCTGCAAAATTCAGAAAGTCAAAGAGCCAGATGTGTCTACAAGCTGATAAGGCAGCTCTGCTGATCCTTCAAAGGGCAGAAATAGATGAGCAGTTGCCTCTAGCCACCTCTGTAAAAACTCCCCAAAGCTGTGAGAAACCCACAAGTGAGGCCTGTGGTCCCTATCCTAGAAGTCACTGAGAAAACAGTCTGCCAGAACTGATAAGACCCAACCTCCAAGAATCTAGCTGAAACTAAAATTTTCTCCAGTATACAGCCTGGTAATATACTCTCAGGGATAATTTTTTTTCTTTTTTTTTTTATTGGTGCATTGTAGCTGTACATGGTGGTGGAATTTGTTGTTACATATTTGTACATGCACAAAATATAACAATATAATTTGGCCAATATCACTTTCCAGTACTTCCCCACTTCCTCCCCTTCTCCCATTCCCTGGTCCCTTTACTATAGTCTACTGATCTTCTTTTAATTTTCATGAGATCCACCCACTCCTCACTTTTCCTTTTTCATCTTTAGCATTCACATGTGAGAGAAAACATACGACCCTTGACCTTCTGAATTTGACTTATTTCACTTAACATAATATTTTCAAGTTCATCCATTTTCCTGAAAATGACATATCATTTATCTTTATGGCTGAATAAAACTCCATTGTGTATATCTACCACATTTTCTTTATCCATTCATCTGTTGATGGTCATTTAGGCTGGTTCCATAGTTTGGCTATTGTGAATTGTGCTGCCATAAACATGGGTATACTTGTATCACTATAGTATGATGATTTTAATTCTTTATGATAAATACTGAGGAATGGTATAGCTGGGTCATATGGTGGTTTCATTTCCTTTTGAGGAGCCTCCATACTGATTTCATAAGGAGTGAACTAATTTATGGTCTCACCAACAGTGAAAAAGTGTTCATTTTTCTCCACATCCTCTCCAGCATATATTATTGTTTGTATTCTTGCTGACTACCATTCTGATTGGTATGAGCTGATATCTCAGTGTACAGTTTTGATTTGCCTTTCCCTAATTGCTAATGATGTTGAAAATTTTTTATTTATTTGTTGACCATTTGTGTTTCTTTAGAAAATTATTTCTTTAATTAATTTGCCCAATTATTCATTGAGGTTTTTTTTGGTGTGAAGTTTTTTGATTTCTCTATATATTCTAGATATTAATCCTCTGTCACAAGAGTAGTTAACAAAGATTTTCTCCCATTCTGTAGGTTCTCTCTTCACATTCTTAATTGCTTCCTTTGCTACGCAGAAGCTTTTTAATTTGCTGCCATCCCATTTATTAACTCCCAGAGATGATTTCCCTCTGATTGCGGTATTCTTTCCTATTTCCCCCCACTTTAGGCCCTTTTTTCTCTCTCCCCAATTTGCCCATTACCACCTCTTACTACCTCTGACTGGCTCCCTCTCTCCTAGATGTGAGAGAGGGTGAAGCCTCTGGAGGCAGTATGCACTAGAAGAAACTCACCAGGGTCAGTCCGGATGCCACATCCGGCACAGCGGTAATTCTGCTTGGCCACAGCAATCTTCCTCCTAAGGAAAGGCAAAGGAGATTGGCAGATAGCTGCTGCACAATGACAGAGGTCTTGTTAAGTATAGGAAGAGAGGAGAATTCATCTGTTTTTTAAAAGCTGGATAAAATGAACCTATTGGGAAAACTAATTCAAACTGAGGCTAGTAGGATTTAGGTCTCAATGACTCTTCCCAATAATGAAGTACACTGTCTATACAAATATAAGGGTAAGAAATAGTAAAGGGGAAAAGAACAGTAAGAGAGAAGCATCTGAGCTTCTTAAAAAGAGAAGAAAAAACAGCTCACAATACTCTTGGGAGGATGGCAACAGGTTGGGAATTCCAAAGAATAAAGGCCTCATTTCCAGTTAGATCTGGAAGACAGTAGCTGCTTGAGGATTCTGAAGAATCCTGAGAATTACTCTTGTTTTGGTGTCGGCAATTGAGCCCAGGGGCATTTAACCATTGAGCTACATCCAGCACTTTTTTTTTTTTTAAGATAGGAGTCTCACCAAGTTGCTCAGAGCCTTGCTAAATTGCTGAGCTGGCTTTGAACTTTGCAACCCTCCTGCCTCAGCCTCCTGAGCCACTGGGATTACAGGCATGCACCACACACCCAGCTGGATAACTTTTTTTTTTTTTTTTGGTACCAGGGATTGAACCCAGGGGTGCTTAACCACTAAGCCACATTCCCAGCCCTTTATTTGTACTTTATTTTGAGACAGAGTCTTGATAAGTTGCTTAGGGCCTCACTAAGTTGCTGAGGCTGGCTTTGAACTTGTGATCCTCCTGCCTCAGCTTCCCCATGTATTACTTTCAATTCTTTTTAAAAAATATTTTTAGTTATAGATAGACACAATACTTTTATTTTATTTTTTAATGTGGTGCTGAGAATCGAACCCAGTGCCTTACACGTGCTACTGTAAGGCATGTGTAAGTGAGCTACAATCCCAGCCCTACTATTAATTCTTAAAAGTAAGGATTTAAGGACAAAAATGGATAATACACTTCCTTTGCTTTTTATTTTTTTCCTCCTCCTCCTTTTTTTTTTTTTTTTAAGGCAGAAGTCTCACTATGTTGCCCAGGCCATATATATATATATATATATATATATATATATATATATATATATATATATATATATATACACACACACACTTTTATTATTTTTATGTGGTGCTGAGGATTGAACCCAGGCCTCACATGTGCTAGGCAAATGCTCTACCACTGAGCCACAATGCCAGCCCCCCAGGCTGGTTTTGAACTCCTGCACTCAAGCCATCCTTCTACCTCAGCTTTCAAGTAACCAGGACTAAAAGCATGTGCCATGGTGCCTGGCTCTTCCCTTGCTTTTAAATGAACAGAACTGTGTGGAAAGTATAACCAGAGGCAGAGATAAGAAGATAGGAAGACAGTTCTGGGGGCTGGAGTTGTAGCTCAGTGGTAGAGTGCTTGCCTAGCATGTGTAAGGCCTTGGGTTCAATCCCCAGAACCACATAAAACTAAATAAACAAAATAAAGTTTTATATATATATATATATATATATATATATATATATATATATATCCCTTTATAAAGGTGTGTGTGTGTGTGTATATATATATATATATATATGACAGTCTGACAATTCAAAGAGAATATATCTTTTTCCAAAGTGCACAGTCACTGACTACTCACGTTGGTGCTGGATGAACATTAAAGATTATCTGAGGCCGGGGTGGGGCCCACTCCAGGTTGCCACGAACGCGGATACGCAGTTTATAAATGTCCGCATGCTGCCCATCATCTGGTGAGATGGGCAGTGAGTCAGGGATGGGCAGGAGCTACAGGAGAAAAGCATAGGTGAGCTAACAATGACAGTCTGAGGGAACACATATGCTTGATCTTTATGGACATGACAGAAACATAGTTAAAAGACAGCATGGTATGAGAAACAAGGGCCTTGTGGTTCCAAGAAGCAAATACAGACACAGCATTCCAGGGTGGTGTTACCCTTTGCTGATGTATGCCAGGATGCTTCATGACTTAAAGATTCAATTTTAGGGCAAAGAAGAGTCCAAACAATTCACTTTTTCTAAGTGTTTTGAAGGTGGTCACAAAACAAGAGTTCTAACTCTGGGATTAGTGAACAGTTATGTGATAACAAGTGAAATAATAACAGTGAAAGAGCCATTATATTGATATTTTTGACAATTTAGGGAAAACCTAGGCAAGCTACCATTCACTCACTCATTCATTCATTCAATACATTTATAACAGATGGCTTCAATGAACAAGGAAGGAAATACAGGTTCATCCCACACTGGGAACAAGTGAGAAAGGAGAGCAAGATAAGAAAGGCTCAGAGCCTCCTGGACAGGGAAAGATGCTGAGGAGCCTACCTTCTGAGGGGCATCATGTTCCGGGACTAGCCACTCTAACTCTGAGGCAGCTGGAAGCTGCATCCCCTCAAACTGCTTCAGGAGCCCCATAGCCACCGCCTCAGCAGAAGTGGAATGCAGGAAGCAATGGGAACTGAAAAGGAGAAAATAAAGAAAACTGAGTGTAGGCAAAAGAAAGGGAGCCTTCCCTTTAGGATCTGAGATCAAATGTAGTAACTTCTCAGCTGAGGAAATGCCCATAGCACCCCAAGTCTGCTCAGCTTCTTCACTTATCATCTTTGGACACAGTGAAAAAATACTGATCTTATTATCGTCCTAAGACTCAGGTTCAAATCCCACTTACTAGCATTATATGGCACTACTAGTTAAGGGCTCTGTATTGCCTTTCCCTAAACTTTAGTTTCTTAACTACAAAATGGACACTACAATGTCCATTTGCAAAATAAAGTGAGTAAATCTGCTTTGTAGACTGTAAAGACTACTGTTCATCCCAAATGAACTAATATTTACCATAGCTGGGTCTATAGTATGGAACTTTTTCAACTTGATTTCATGATCAAAAGTCACAATCAATCTCTCTCTTGAGACCTAAGTGTCTAGGATAGAAGTCAGCAGAGAAAGAATAATTCACACTGCAAGCTTTGCCTTCACAAAAGCCCACCCCATTTAGATTTAAAAAAAAAAAAAATCTTTACTCTCTTTCTTCCTGTAGGTTCATCACCATCGAGCAAGATCATTACTTGAACCTTGCCTCCACCTGAATTGGAATGACTTTACATACCCATCTATTGGGTTTATTTCTCCCTACACCCACACCCCAAGGTTATTAAAAGTAAAAAAAGAAAGAAAGTACTTACAAGGACTGGGAAGAAATGAAGGGTTTGCTGTTTGAGGCTGTGCACCTTCTGATGTCAGCATCTAAACAGAGATAAGAAGAATAGGAAATGGAATAGAAAGAGGTAAAGAATATGGAAACCTTGACAAAGTATTGCCAGCTAAGCACTCAAGATAGCACCTAGGTGCTATATTCTATGCAAGAGAAGGAGCAGGTGAAGCTCTAAACGCAATTTATAATTTGGCTCTATTCAAGTCACAATCAGGCTGAATTAGTGACATTATGCATAGCACTGAGAAGGTCAAAGTAGTTACAAATCCAGGTGGAAACACAAACTCAGATTTGGTGTAAAACAGTGAATGAGAAAAGTAGGCATCCTAAGGCTTACAGGGACACAACCCCTACCGAGCAGAAACACAAAATAATGACTCAAATATCTCTCTCACTCTCTAAATATCAAGCATTCTTAACTGGTAAGCTCCCAGAAGCAAGAACTCTGCCTGAATTTATTTATTTATTTTTAATGTAAGAATTAGCACCTAACATAGAACTTGGATCATAAAAATGATCTGTGCAACTAAAAGTTTGCTTCTAACATCTCACAACTCTTGCCCTTACTCCTGAATGAAGAATGAAGTTTTCTAAATTCTTTAAAATTTTTGTGGAACCCAGTATGGTGGCACATGCCTGTGATGCCAGTGGCTGGAAGCCTGAGGCAGGAGGACTGCAAGTTCAAAGCCAGCCTCAACAAATCAGTGGGGCCCTAAGCAACTTAGGGAGATCCTGTATCAAAAATAAAATGTGGCTCCGTGGGTTCAATTTCTGGTACCAAAGAAAAAGAAAAAAGTTTTGTGGAAGGATTTCATTCCTGAAGGATAGCATAGGAAGGCAAAGAACTTCTCTGGAAATGCCTGATAACCAACAACTTTTCAGGGATTGTCAACACGATCTTTACTACAGAAATCTCACACACAACTGTAAGAAACCATGACAGACTTTCCAAAGCATATTTCTGATACATGACTTTGCAAAGGATTTCTAATAATGAATGCCTAAACTTCCAGAGACCTCATTTGCTCAAATACTTTTGATGTGGGGGAATGTAAAAAACAGAAGTCATGTTCGAGAAAGGCAGATAGACCTTAACCAAGTCATGAAAGGTTGTTTTGATAAATCCTGTCTCACTTCCTTTGATGCCCAGTGAAAAGATCTTTTCTCCCTAATGAAGCTTACACAATAATCAATCTAATAATAATCAATAATAATAATAAATCAGTCTAAATTCCTCAATAGAGTTTCTAAGCTTATGTCACTCTGCACTTGGCTCAATTGTTCCTTACATTTTCTACCATATATAGATTTTTTATGTACAACTATATTATAAAGTCTCCTTGTGAGGAAATGAGATTGTGTCTAATTCTTCTTTTGGATCTAAAATACTTAACACACAGTTGTGTATACAAACATGCTTAAATAATATTGTTGATGAGCTGGTTAACAGAATTAAATTTTTTTAAAAAAATATTTTTTAGTTGTAGATGGACACAATACCTTTATTTTATTTATTTATATTTTTTATGTAGTGCTGAGGATTGAACCCAGTGCCTTATAAGTACAAGGCAAGTGCTCTATTACTGAGCTACAACCCAAACCCCAGAATTAAATTTTTTTTGTGGGGGGGTGGTACTAGGGATTGAACTCAAGGGTACTTGATCACTGAGCCACATCCCTAGCCCTTTTTTGTATTTTATTTAGAGACAGGGTCTCACTGAGTTGCTTAGTTCCTTGCTTTTGCTGAGGCTGGCTTTGAACTCGTGATCCTCCTGCCTCAGCCTCCGGAGCCATTGGAATTACAGGCATGTGCCACTGTGCCCAGTCAGAATTAAAATTTGTTGACTAGTTTTCATATGTTCTCAAAGTAAAGATAAATAAGACATCAACCAAGTTTTTGCTGGTAACTAACAAAGTCTATTTTATTTAACAACAAAGACCTTCATTTATATCATATATTTTCTGTCTGCACTTGGGCCACTAAAATTCACATCCCAATGCACTGCTATTTGTCTAGTTTCACTATAATTAGTGCTAGTAGAAAAAAGGGGAAAAAAAAGGATAGACAACAGTAGAACAGACAGATTTTCACACATCATTTGCTTTACATTTATATGGGTAACACTTATACTGCCTGGAATTGAACATAAGTCTTGCCTTGTCTTAGTAACGCTCACAGTGCTTTGTACATAATAGGTTTTCAGAAAATATTTCCTAAAAGAATATTAATTGGCTAGAAGCAATTAACAGATTTTGAATATTTCATTTTGTTTGGGAGTAACAGAGAAGGAAAAAAGAAAATCTTTGACAGATATCCTTGAATAAGAAGCTGACAAATTTTGTTACTTTAGGACCAGCCTATTAAAGAAAATAACACACACTAGAGAGAAGTGGTTGAGAATTCATAGTTGCTAAGGAAACCACTGTCTCCATAAAAACTATAATCATGTGCACAAAATGAAGTTAATGTCAATGACAAGCCACATATATGACAGTGGTCCCATAAAATTACATTGTTTAGTGATATAGTAGCTATCTTAGTTGGTACAAGTGTACTCCACGATGTTTGCCTAATGACAAGTTTCTTAGAATATATCTCTTATTTATGCGAAGCATGACTGTATTTAGCAGTTTTTCATTGTTCTTTTTTCTTCTTTGAGAAAAAAAATCATTCTTTTCTCTTTATAGTATATAATCAGTCAAGTGCAATGGTGTACAACTATAACCCCAGCCACTTGAGAGGCTAAGGCAGAAGGATCACAAGTTCAAAGCCACCCTCAGCAACTTAATGAGACCCTGTCTCAAAATTAAAAAAGTGAAAAGGGCTGGGGATATGACTCAGTGGTTAAGTGCCCATGGGTCCAATCCCTGGTTGGGGAGGGCGGGCGGAAAGAACATAATCAAGTCATACTTTATCGTGTTTCTTTTTTTTTTTTTTTTAATCACAAGGTCCAAAGAGGTCAGAGGTATGTGGCATAGAATTCCTGGCTAATCAGGAACATTTCCAAGAGTGTGGAAGACCACAGTGCTTTAGAGGTAAGGATCTTTTACCCCAGGGTGGAGGAAGATAGGCAGCACCTAATATCAAAGGGGACATGACACCCGCTCTGGTCAAGAACCATGCTTGTGTGGCATCCTGCCGACTCTCTGGTCAGGTCAAACAGATGACTAATTTAATGTGGACAGAAAACTAGTGGAAGATGAGGACAGAAGTAGACCAGGGTCAGGACTGAGGATGTAGTTCAGTGGTAGAGTGCTTGCCTAGCATGTATGAAATCCTAGGTTCAATCCTCAGCACTACATAAAAAAGAAGTAGACCACGGTCTCAGAAAACTAAAGAGTAAAGAGAAAGAAAACCATTCAACTAGATGGATTAAATGTACCCCAAATGAGAGCACTTGAGAAAGAAGTCTGAGAAAACTCATCTTCCAAGTGAATTGAACATAATTATGAAACATTTTATTGATCTTGCATACAAAAACAAATATATTTTTTCCAAGGGAACCAATTTCAAGTGCTTTTGATGTTTTAGAGAGAATAAGTCCATTATTACTATGGACTGAAAAATAATTAGAATATTAAAAACAAACAACACTATGTGTTATAAATAGAAGAATATGCTGTGTGTCCAGACAACTAGTATTGGTACAATCCAGGAAGAACTAGTTAAAACCTTGGTACCTTAATAAAATCTGCAAATTTTTAAATGAAATAAGTAAGGCTAGTGAAGAATCAGTTTCATAATTTACTGGCCAGTTTGATGTTGGTCTCCATTCTGATTTCCTTCCAGTAGATGATACTCAACATATCAGAAAATCCAACATCAGTAAGTTTTCGGTAACTGCTAAGTCAAAAAAGAAATGATTTTTTAAAAATAGAGAACCATTGGGGCTGGGGATGTGGCTCAAGTGGTAGTTTGTTCGCCTAGCATTCGATTCTCAGCACCACATAAAAATAAAAAAAATAAAGATATTAAAAAATATAAAAATAAACAAAATAGAGAACCACTATTTTTTTAAAATGTATTTGTTTTTAGTTGTCGATGGACCTTTACTTAATTAATTTATTTATATGTGGTTCTGAGAATTGAACCCAGTGCCTCACACATACTAGGCAAGCGCTCTACCACTGAATTACAATCACAGCCCAGGAACCACTATTATTGTCTTAAAAAGAAACAAATTATTAAAAAGGGTAGGAGGAGAAGCAACTGATTACCTTGAATTGGATATAATTTTAAAACTTGTTGGAAAATACAGTTCTGAGTATTCATCTTTATATATTATGCCAGCTACCAATTTACTGATTTTTTAGCCACAAATCTGTCTTTTTGCTCACAATGCATTAGTACTGGATCCATAACCATTTCTCCTCTTTCAGCTGGGTACAGTGTTCTTTTCAGTGGAAGGCACTAAGGGACGCTAAGAAGTATGCCTTGTGCATCTTTGCAGCAGAGTGCCACTAGGTGGTACCTCTCATAAGCAATTTCTCTCAACAACTCCTGGGAGAACTTAACTAAAAGTGAGTGCCAGATGCCTAGTACCTTCCCATGAACTGCTTTCCCAGTATTATTTGAGTTCAGAGACAAGGCACTTTCCTCTACCCATCAGTACATTCTCCAGAAAATTGTTTCCCAGAGAAGGCTTGTAGCATGGCACCTCTTAGTACACAGTGTTACTTGATACTATATCAAAGCAGCTCTTCAGCTTCTCTACCATTCAGTGAGCCAGGAGGTCAGGATCTCAGGCCTTGTGGCCCTCTTTCACATTTGTTCCTTCCCTAGGTGCTCTACCCCAGCCTTAGAAAAAGTGATCGCCAACTACATCTGTCCTTTCTGTCATCTCTGGAATTCTCTTTACTCCTTATGAACCAATCTCAGTCCATGGATAACCAGCTCCATTCCTCAGGGCTTGAGGAACTTTATGGCAGAAGAGTGTAGCAGAGAGAAGTGGCTCACATGATGATCAGAAAGGGGTGGGGCAGGCAGAGATAGTGACTCTATTCTCAGATACAAAATACATACCTCAAAGGCACACCTGCAATTACCCATCTCCTCCAGCCACACCCTACCTGCCTCAATTACCACTCAGTTAATTCCATCAGGGAATTAATTCACTGATTGGGTTAAGGTTCTTATAACCCAATCTTTTCTCCTCTAAGCCTCCTTGCATTGTCTCTCACAAGAGCTTTGGGGGATACTTCACATCCAAACCATAACATTGGGACAATAAAAATGTTATAAAACTAGGTGATGGTAATGGTTGCAAAACTCGGTAAATTTACTAAAAAAATCAATGAGCTGTACACTTGAAGTAGGTGAGTTTTGATATGTAAATTATATCTAAATAAAATTGTTTTTAAAAAGATATAGATGATGATGAATATTAAGCTTTTTATGAATAAACCGTGATCTCAAAGTCTATCTCCAAATTCATTGTTAGAAATAAGGAACTTTCAAATTTATTTACTTTAAACAGTTCTGTCCCACACGGTCTATTTAATTTATCACAATCTAAGAAAAGTAATTAGACTTGGCAGATTATTACAATATTTAGAGGATTTATCATAGGTGATATTCATAAAATGATGCTTAAGTAGTTTAAACTTTTTTTCAAGAGTGTTATGGATCCTGATGACCTTCCTAATGATGGTATCCCAAGAGACTCTTCCATAGTATAAATTATTATTAAGCTGATCATATGGAAATGTGTCTGTAAACCTCTGGACATGATTAGAAAGACTGTTCATAAGAAGTAGAAGTAAAATACTTTTTAGGAAGAGTCTTAAACCAATAACAAACCTGATAAAAGACCAGAAACACATGATAAAGAACAGAAAGCAATAAAGAAATCTAGAGTAGAGAAAAATGAATAGTAAATTATACTTATATCATTGGGAAACTATGTACAGAAAGAACATGTTGTTGGGAAAACATATAATGGCAGCAGCACCCCAGAGAAAAACCCCAACATGGCGTCTAACGACCCTCTTTCCCCTCTTTGTTTCTTTCACTGGTGCGAAAGGTTTCCTGCCCGCGCCAACATTCAAACCCTGCTGGTGGGAAGCCTTAGCCCCAATTAGAATTAACTTCTTGGGCTCCGGAACTGACATATGGAAGAGCTTGCCAATAAACGGGCGACCTGTTATCTACCTCAGCCCTGCGACCTCTCCTTAGACCTATATAAACACACAGCCTTTTGTAATAAAGTGGAAAACCTCTTTGGTGATCTGTGTCGTGTGGTGCAGCATCTTCCAGTCTTACACATGTAACTTAAGTCATGTTTTTTTAAACTGGGTATCAAACCCAGCACCTCACACAAGCTCTCTTCGACTACATCCCTAGTCCTTTAGTTGTCATTTTTAAGAGTGACTTCTGACTTTCCTTTCATTCCCCTTCCATAATGTGTCTGAGGCAAGGTACCTCACCCCACACTCCCTGTCCCCCAGACTCCAAGAATGGGGATCACAAGAAAAAGTAGATTTTTAGTTGAAATTTTTTTCATATTCTTGGTGTAAAACTTGTCATATATATAAAATTTTGAAAGCTCCCAAAATTGGGAAAGGAAGGATATTAGGATAACCAAATAAAGGAATGCCTTATGAGTAAAGCAGATTGAATATGCTCTGATGAAATAGCCAACAGTCAATAAGCGCATCAGCAAAAGATTGTGGTTGTAAACACATCAGAAACCAGTTAAAAAGTGACAGGATAATCTGAAGCAATGGAAGACTAATGTTTAAATATATTACAACAATGCAGGATTAGAGAAAAATGAACCTAATTAGTTTTATTTCTTTAAATCTTGACCTAATCTTATATAATAATTAATTATATAAATTAATCTTATATAATTATTCAAATTCTAGTGGCTGACAATATGAACAGTCATAAACATTATATTAACATTATTAAAAGGTATGTGTCTGGTCCTGGGGATTGAACCCAGGGCCTTGCTAGGCAATGCTCTACCACTGAGCTACATCCTACTTTTCTTAGTGTTTTAGTTATTGTCATTTGTGTTTTAAAACCATTTTAAGTAGAATACTGTTACTTTCTTTCAATTAACTACACCTACAGAAAACCTACTTATTTGAATCACAAAGCAATTACTAAAGATGGCTATTTATAGCAGCAATTCCTAATTATATATGAAGTACCCAGAAGAGGTAGCTTTCTGAAAGTTGGCTCTCCAAATCTCAAACTCTAAGTGGACTAAGTTTCATGGCATTCTGTCCTACTTTTGCTGTCTAAATGTGTGGCAGTAGCTTACCTATATATTTGAACAAAAATTCTTTAACCATTTCTTTCTAAGCTATCTATTACCTCCATAGTCCATGACTATTTAATCTAAAATGATCACTGCAGGGAAGAATCAACAAGGACAAACCCAACGAAGACTTTGAGTTTGAGTTTGTTTATAGAGTCATATGAGGAAAAATATCTGAATATCTGAATTGTTCCTGGCTTCTTATTATCACTTAAGTCCAGTTTTTTCTAATAAGATCTTCAGATCATGTAGTCCTCATTACTTTAACAGGATTCACATGGCCAAGTATATACAAAAGCTGGCACAAACACTTACACACATGCATGTATAAGCACATCCACATTTCCAACACAGGCTACCTGAAAACATGGAGGCCATTGACACTGAGAGTCCGTTCTTTGACATGTGATTCAGGTTAGATCCTTCGCTATCATCTGTGTAATAATGATTATAAAAGGGGCCCTTTAGTTTTCTGACATGAAGTAACCTGATGAGATTGACAATTCTATACCACATGTTCCAGAGATCAAAAGATGAAACAGCTTTTAGGAACTTACATCAAATAGGCAGATGCTCATTATAGCTTGGATAGTTACTGCTACTTCCCAAACTCATCTAGCCTCAAGGACCTTATAAGACAATGTTTTTGTTTTTTAATTTTTTGTTGTAGATGGACACAATACCTTTATTTTATTTATTTATTTTTATGAGATGCTGAGGATCTAACGCAGTGCCTCACGTGTGCTAGGCAAGTGCTCTACCACTGAGCCACAACCCCAACTCGACAATGTTCTTAATCAGGGGTGATGTTGGCAATATCTGGAGACATTTCTGACTCTCAAGTGGGGAGAGGAGTACTACTGGCCTCTGGTGGGCAGAGGCCAGAAATGATACTAAATATTTTACTATACAAGACAGTTCCTCACAACAAAGAATTGCACTGCATAGAAGATGAGAAACCCTGCCTTAAGGTCTTTTCCTTTAGGATTTTTATTCTGAACTAACTAGGGAATAAGTTGATTAAACATCTCCTAGGAGCCCACAACTGCAGCAATAGTTTTCCAACAGTAATGTACTGTATGTCTTCCCCTAGGCAACTTCCTTGTCAACTCAATTAGCTTCCCCATCCTCCTGCTTTGCTTCAGGAAACATATTTAGCCTCCAACTGGACTATTCCACATCTGATAAAGCAGTAAACTCAGAATTTGCCTTAATATTACCCTCATGAAATTCTGCTGCTGCTCTTGAAAGGGTGGAATCCTCTCACTTTCTTTTAATTTTGGAGATCAAGTCAATCACAACATTATGGCACAACAAAAAATAAATATATGGCAGGTGTGGTGGTACAAGCCTTTAATCCCAGTCACTTGGGAGGTTGAAGAAAGAGGACTGCAAGTTCAAGGTCAGCCTGGGCAACTTAGTGAGACCATGTTTATCCCTAGTTCCTAGTATAGAGATCCTCAAACCCTTGGATTTTTCTAAGTCACAGAAATGTCTTTTATCATTAATAAAGAATCCCGTTCAGTCATACCCGAGTGTGTATTAATGAACTGACTCTTAGCAGGCACCCAGATAGTTTCAGGATGGGGCTGGCCACCAGAAGAACCAACTATATGATTAGTGAGTTGGAACTTTGACTTCCCCCTTTACCTCCATGGAAGACAGAGGGGCAGAAGATTAAGTTCAATTACCAATGGCCAATGACTTAATTAATCTTTTCCACATAATGAAACTTGGAACTACAAGGTTTGGGGGAGGTGCCTGGCAGGTAAACATATCCATGTGCTAAGAGGGTCGTGTACCCTGACTCCATAAAGACGGAGGTTCCTACACTAGGAACTCTTCAGGATCTTGCTTTATGACTTCTTCATGGGGCTATTTATTTGTATTCTTTATAATAAACTGAAATCATAGACATAATGCTTTTTTTTTTTTTTTTTTTTGGTACTAGGGATTAAAACCAGGGCCATATTCACAGCCCTTTTTTTTTTTTTTTTTTTTTTTTTTTTTGAAACAAGGTCTCACTAAGTTTCTAATAGCCTTGCTAAGTTGCTGAGGTTGACCTTGAACTTGCAATCCTCCTCCCTCAGCCTCCCTATTTGCTGAGATTACAGGTGTGTGCCACCACATCTGGCAATATAGTGCTTTCCTAAGTTCTGTGAGTCATTCTGGTGAATTATTAAATCTGGAAAGGGGACATAGGAACCCCTGAATTCATAGTCAGCAGGGAAGAATGTAGGTGACCTCACTTGCATCTGGTATCTTAAGTGGGAACAATCTTATGAAATTGAGCTCTTAACTCATGGATCTGTGTTAACTCTAGGTAGTCAATGTCAGAAGTAAACTGGAGGAAAACCAGGTGGTGCCAGATGCAGAAACATTGCTGGAAAACCACAAACAAAAAATGGAGTTTTAAATGACTACCTATTAGAAATACCTGTAGAAATCAACTACATTAAGAAAAACACAGAAGGCTAGAGACCTAAAAAATGTGTGTTAAGTCTGATTTTCTGAGTGGAAAAAAAAACCTGACTACTTCATCTGGAGGTCTGTACAGATGAATGGGTTCTCTAACATGTAATAAAAAAATCTATTTACCCCATGTTACAATGTCATAATGGAGTATTATAGACACAATTCAGCTCTACCTGGAACTTACTCTTAGCTTCACCCATGGGGAAGAACTTATGTACTGGAACTATTTTTGTTTGTCTCACTGATGAGAACTTGAAGAAACCTATGATATGCAGGAATGGAACATTAATATGATTTAATACAACTGACCTCCTGGTTGGGAGCCCCTCTCCTTCTATATGCTGATACTTCTAATAAGAATCTATGATTCTGTTATAACAAGTTAGCACTTAGGAGGTCAGAAATTAAAGCTCCACTTTGTGAACTTGATTTATTTTCCTTTTTGCTTCCTCCTCAATGATTCTTCTTGTCCTTTTGGTTGAGGGATATAATAAAGCTCCTTTTGAATAATTCAAAACAATTTTAGTTGTGTTATGGGGCATAAGAGGATAGGATTCTAATTTCATGAGGTATATGAACTAGAAGGAAGAATTACAATGCAAAAAAAGCATCAGGGTGACTTCAACTGTCAGCCCACTCCAACTGGAACATTTCCTTTCATGGTTCTTTTCTTTTCTGCTTAACCTATAAAGGGTATTTCCAGGTACATTGGCACATGCTGTAATCCCAGTGACTTGTGAGGCTGAGGCAGAAGATCCCAGATTCCAGGCCAGCCTCAGCAACTTAGCAAGTCCCTAAGCAACTTCATGAGACTCTTTCTCAAAATAAAAAATAAAAAGGGCTGGGGATATAGTTCAATATCAAGCACCCTTGGGTTCAATCTCCAGTATACCCCCCAATTTTTTTCTAAAAATAGGTTTGGTTTGTTTTGGTGGAGTGAACCCATAAAGGGGTTTTGTTTCTAACATAAGAAGTTGTTCCTTTCAGTATCCCTAATGGGTTACAACATTCCCTAACGGACCTTAATGAAGAACTTCTACTTAGGGAGTTTCACAGCATATGATTCCAAATTGAAAGAAACAAATAACAAAAGCTCCCAGTAACAAAGTATCACTTCTTACCTTGGATTTCAAATTCATCAACTTCATCACCAGAGCCAGAATCAGAGAACTGTGCTGAATCACGGGAACTAAATTGGGAGCTACTGGAGGTGACCCGAAAGCCTATCAAAAAATAATAATAAAAACAATAACAATAAATAGAACAGAAAGAGATCTCCTGCTCCTCCCAATGTCACAGTAAAAGGTAACTGGTAGGACTTAAATGTATATCAAACCTTTGTTGGAAGTGAAGCTGTTGAAATGGAAACTAGCTCTTGTTGATTTATAACCTTAGAAGATTTCATGTAAATAGGAGGTACTAGTATTTGGGAAGTCAACCTGGAATCAGTGGTCTTAGTTCTCCTTACATCAGAAATCTATTTTGGAAGGAAGCCATTTCTGATGTAGGAAATGGATGAATTCTGGAATAAGTATTCTTAGTCTGGTAACAAAAATAGAACAAAGGGGATGTGAGGGCAATCTGGCTTCCACATCTATCACCCCCATTGATCACCAGGGTTGATTCAGATGATCTGGCTGGCTATGAAAGTGTCCCTTTCCTCACTGCTCCATGTGTGTCCCTCCCAAAGCTTCTTGCTCAAAGAGAACAATCGTCCCTGATAGAGGAGGAGCATCTTTGGTCAAGGGTATATAAGTAGCTGAGCTCCCCTGCTAGAACCTCCAAACAAGCTCTCAAAAACAGAACAAAGTCTGGGGTGTAGCTCAGCAGCAGAGAGCTTGCCTAGCATGCATGAGGTGGCATTGGGTTTGATCATCGGCACCACATAAAAATAAATAAAATAAAGGCATTCTGTCCATCTACAACTACAAATTTTTTTTAAAAAATATAACAAAGTAATATCTTTCTGACAGTGACAAAACCTTGGTTTGGGTGTAATTCCCAAAGGAAGATCAGAAACGAAAGCCCTCAAGGCACAGAACTTGTCTTGAAGCCATGAAGAAGCAGGAACAAAAATGTGTTTATAGGCCTCACTCACTTCCTTGCTCAGTCTCCTGGTATATAGGGAGCAGATTCTTGGTGCGGATCTGCTGGCGCCGAAGGCGGATCTTCTGTTTCAGTTCCTGGATTTCTTTATCACTGTCTTCTTCTTCTACTTCCTCTTCTTCTAGGCATTGGCTCATCATGTTGCACTTCATTAGCTCGATGGCAGCAATCAAGGACTCTGAAATGCTGAAGTGTGCATTCTCCTATGGGAAGGCAAGCACCAAAGAAGTTGTATGTTAAGGAACTAAAAGTAAGCTGGGCACATGGCACACACCTGTAATCCCAGTGGCTTGGGAGGCTGAGGCAGGAGCATCCAAGTTCAAAGCCAGCTTCAGCAACTTAGAGAGGTTCTAAGCAACTTGGCGAGATCCTGTCTCTAAATAAAAATATAAAAAGGGCTGGGGATGTGGCTTAGTGGTTAAGTGCCCCTGGGTTCTATCCTTGGTACCAAAAAATAAAAGAAACTAAAAGTATTCAATGCCTCACTTATTATAATGCTGGAAAGCAGACCTTCCAAGGCATGCACTCCTCTTATCAAAAACACCCAGGGGAAATGCATACTTCTACTATAAGGAAAGTAGATGACAAGAAAATCTGTTCTAAATTCTCTTTGCTATCTTGACCATGCATGCCTGTTCCATTTTATACATAAAAATGAAATGAAAATCTCAGCTGGTCAGCCCAAGACCCCATGCAGCATTAAGTACCCCATGCGGTCCCATTTCAATTTCAACAAGAACTATCATGAACCAGGAAAAATTTAGCAAAATTTAGACACAAGAATGTATTGGTGGGAAAGAACTGCTCAGAGAGAAGATGGTGGTTCACAGAACCACTACAGCGGATAATAAAACACAAAACACTTCAATTTTCCTTAAAGAACATAGGGCTAAACAATATCTCTGATACTGAAGGGGTGAATGTATTTATAAATCAAGGAACAGTTATCCACCTTGACAAACCTTCAGTGCAAGCATCTCTGGTAACAAACATTTTCACCATTATAGGTCATGGTAAGACAAAGCAGCTGACAGAAATATAATATGTTAAACCAGCACAGTACAGACAGTCTGACTAGTTTAAGGAAACTGGCTGAAGCTCTGCCCAGCTGTGGATGGAAAAGCACTTGCCACTGGAGAAGATGGTGATGGTGATAAAGTTCCAGATCATTGGAGAATTTTGATGAGGCTTTTAAGAATGAGGCAAGTTGAATTGAGTCAACTTCTGAAGAAGAAAAAACTTGAAGATGTTACAGGAAGTTGCTATTTATCTTATGCTTTTTAAAATTGTTTTGTTTATGGACTTGATAAAATCTAGCACTCTACTATTTTTTTTTCTTTTTCTTTTCTTTAGGTACCAGGGATTGAAGCCAGAGGTGCTTAACCACTGAGCCACATCCCCAGCCCTTTTCATTTTTTATTCTGAGACAGGATCTCACTAATTTGCTTAGGGCCTTGCTGAGCTGCTGAGTCTGGCTTTGAACTTGTGATCTTCCTGCCACAGTCTCCCAAGCTTCTGGGATTACAGGCATGCACCCAGCTTCTCTAATATTTTTAAGCACAACCTGCTAGGACACTGCAGTTCTTTTTAGTTTTTGCTTATATGTAATTCATTTTTTTGCAGTTAAATAAGCTGAAGAAGCCTAGGAATAAAGTGTGAAAAGTTCTTTGCCTAGCAAAGGAAAAAAGAGAAGATGCCCAGAAATTTCAACCAGGCTCTTTTCCAAGTTCATATACTTACACATGAAGTATTAAGGTCAATGTTTTCAAGATATGAGTGTTTTGTTATCTAAAAAATGCTGCATAGTTGTTATTTATTATGTATCTGAGCCTAAGCATGAAATACAGAAGTCCTGGAAATAGAATTTATCTAAGGTTCCAGGATAGAAGAAACAATAATCATGTGCCTAAAATTGAATGTTTCTCTGCCCAGCACAGCTTCTAGGATAAAACTGCTAATATTTTGGACTTGATGAAAAGCACACACTTCCTGAGGAGTTCCTCAGAAACAGAAATTGCTGGACTTTATATTTACTGCAGGCTATACTCATGACACTGCTATAAACCTAAAATCTCTTTCAAACAAATGGCATCACAGATCCTCAGGCCAAATCTTCCAACGAATGAGTTCTTCATCAGACCCTTTGATTCCTCACCTTTTCAAGGTCTGCGCAGCTACCAAAGTCTTGCTCAGAGAGATAGCTGATGAGGGACTGTCCTTCTGATGGTCTTCGGAACATGCCCTCTCCTGAGCACAGGTACTGACCACCCTCTGTGGGAAAATGGAATGTAGATATAAAAAGTTCTGTCTCAAAAAGCAAATATGTAACAGCTAAATTTAGACTTCTTCAAGAAGTCTGAAGATTTTTTACCACTAAAGTGCTCTCATGTCTTCCCAAATAATGAGGAATTAGAGGTAAGGTATCTATCTTCTAATAGAATTACTCAGATTCTTAAGAGTCCCAGAGCACTACTAAGCCTCTTGGTTGGAGAATGGTGAACTACATGGAGACAGTCCAGAGACAATACTTACACTATCTAAATTTATAGACGACATACTCTCCCTCCTACTCCACACTCACAAAAATCTAAAAACCCATGCTGAGAGTCAGAAAAGGACACTAGTAACTTCCTTTTGTACATGACTTCCATGTGAAACTTGTCTTCTGGTAACTAAACCCAGATACTCAAAGGCCTCTTTTCAAATTCCCTCTCACCCTCTCAGACAGCCATTCCATCTGGATCAACAGAGACGTGCCGTGATAATACCTACAACATAAGAGACAGTGGGACCCCAGAGTCAGAGGGGGTCCAAGAGAAATGGCAGGTGACTATGATTTCTAGCACAGGGGTTGAAGAAGGGGTGGTCAGACTGCACAGTGCGTACCCTCCACAGAGTTGAGATGAGTACAAAAGCTGAGGCTTTAGCAGGCAGGAGGAGAAAGCAAAGAAAAGACACCATTTCATCCCTAGCCTTCCTAGTACGCACTTACCATACTCCAGGTACAGAGAGTTGGGTGTGCTGACTGCACTACTCTGAACAGAGAAGGGAAAGGGGCCTCTTAACTTCGACTTATCATTGTAGGATTCTAGTGTCAGTGACCACACCAGGAAGTAAAAACACACACAGAAGTAAGCAACAGATACATTCCCAATCTGGAGTTTCAACATTTAACTGCTACCATTCCCAAAGCCCACCTAAGAAGGAAAAGGGTAGCATATTAATAGTTAAAAGCCCAAGAAAACAGAACACGTAGAGGAAAGGAATGGGAAATCAGCTGGAAGAGAGAAAACATGATCTAGAATGGGACAACACAAAGGTGAAAAGTATCAAATCAAAATGAATCAATTTAGTTATTTGCCATCCAACCAAATGTTTCTAACCACTTCACAAACTAATTTAGCAAATAGTCTATAGGTTGTTAAGGTTGTAGCTCAGTGGTAGAGTATTTTCTTGGCATGCATAAGTGAGGCCCTGGGTTTTGATTTTGTTTTATCCCCAGCACCAAAAAATAAAATAAAATAAAACAAGAGAGAGAGAGAGAGAGAGAGAGAGAGAGAGAGAGAGAGAGAGAGAGAGTCTTCAGATGGTAAAACAAACACAAGCACATTAAAATTTTCTGATACATTGACACTATATTTTTTAAAAGATATCAGAAGGTAAATTTACATTCACTAAGGAATAAAAAAAAAAAACAAACAGCTATGTTCTTAACAGCAGCATCAAGGCAGTGCTGAAGAAGCTAAAGACAATGGCCTTGAAATCAAAGGGCTCAGTGACTGGAAAAGGAAGACAGAGGTTTCATGATAAGGTTGGCAAAGCAGGAGGTGCCTTGGAATAAGACTAGTAAGAGCTGGAAGTGGAAAAACAGCAGCAGGCAGGGATTACAGGAAATGGGAAATTGATATTCTCCAAAAAGAAACACAAAATTTCTAGTGCCAGAGGGAAAAGCAGGTAGAAGAGCAGGTGGATGCCTAAGAAATGAGCAGGGTGCTCTGGGAAGATGAATGATTGAGACACATCTAACCTATTTCCATGGAAAATGGTACCAACTTGTCTGCTGCTCCTATTGCAAAAAAAATGCTACTACATGGTAAGAGAAATCAGCTTTCTCCTTGGGCCTCAGAGACTTCTGGTAGCCCTAGTAGTAGGCTCTGCTCCTCACCACCAACTGGGGACAACCTAGCAGTCACCATGAAACCTTGGTAAGAAACCATGTCTTGGAAGGAAATTTTTAGATTCCAAACACAACAGAAACCTTACTTCTTTTTTTTTTTTTAGAGAGAGAGAGAGAATTTTTAATATTTATTTATTTTTTTAGTTATTGGCGGACACAACATCTTTGTTTTGTATGTGGTGCTGAGGATCAAACCCGGGCCGCATGCATGCCAGGTGAGCACGCTACCGCTTGAGCCACATCCCCAGCCCCAAAACCTTACTTCTTTACAAGATATGGCTATTCAGCCTTTGCACATTGAGTACACTACCTCCTAATGCTGCCCACCCAATTAATTCTTAGCATTTCCTTACACTTACTCAAAATCTGTCTTCTTATAATTTCTCATCCTCTTAAGAACAAATATGCTCTTCTAAATGATGATTCTGCACACTTTATTTCCTCTTAAACTTTCTCTTTTCAGAGTACCTAGATACCTAGCAGCTTCACTCATTACCAGGAGGCCATGGTTTTCAGTCCTTTCTCACCACTGTCTTGCAGACACATTACTACAGCATTAATATTTTCATGAATCACAGTACCCAGAATACAACACAAATGTTTGAGTTTTACATGCTCAAAGCCAATGATCTGGAATACAGGAGACACTACCATGAAAACCAAAGAAACAGATTGAAGTCACTAGAAAAATGTGCAATGGTTGGAATAGGGTATGGGAACTCACAGGGTTATGAAAACATATGTAAGAAAAAGGAAATGGGACTCTGGACAGGCAAAGAACATGCAAGTGTATCCAAAACCACAGAAAGGGGATAAAACACATTCTGGTGTTAAGTCAAGGAAAATAAAATAATCCACAGTAAGTATTCAGTTAAAAGAAACATTCTGTCACTGATTCATCAAGAGGCCTTAGATAAATAGTAGGTCTTTGTTTTACCTTTGGGCAAAAATTAATCACTAAGTCTTGATTCTGCCTCCCAGAAGCTGATGGGAAACTGAAGGAGGCATATAGAAGTTGTGAGAAGAACATATATCACATTAAGTATCACTGTCATTTTACAGACAGGTCCTAACATCATAACAGGACCAGACTAGCCAGACTTGATTTGACACCAGACTGTAAAAAGACGTTTTCAACTAAACAAGGGGATCACAAAGGAGCAGAAGGGAGAGAAGGTAGAGGACTGGCTCCCAAACCTGCAATGGGATCTTCAACTATAATGGTGATATTCCTGGGGCCTCCTGTAGGTAAACAGACAAGTATAGAGAAGAGTCCAGACAGAGCAAACAAGATTAGAGAAAGAGAGGAAAAAACCAAAAACAAACAAATAAAAAAACTATGTCTTTTACCTGGCAGAGGTGGGGACATAACTCCAAAAGGGAACCCCAGTGCTAAAGGAAGGACGACTTGTACAAGAAGCTACACATGACCCATACTCCCTCGGACCCTTCTGCAAGGTTTTCACAGGCTCCCTTTTCCCATGCAGGTTACCATGGTTTCTGGAATCCATGTGGATTCAAGAATGGGGGCAGGGAAGTTTTACATGCTCAAAGGCCAATGACCTGGAATACAGTAGACACCAGGCCTAAAGTATAAGATGTGACATGAGGATCTAACCCAAGCACACTCTTCACATCTAAGAAAGCTCATGGGAAGACAGGCTTTGATTTGGAGACTTTTTCTTTAAAAGTTCCAATAAGTCAAATTCTTGAGGAAAAAACAGAGATAAAATTTGCCATTTGGAAAGTTTCAGATGAGGCCCTTAGGTTCTTTTCTTTCTAAAAATTACAGAGAAGCAATGGCAACTCCAGTTGCTAAGGGAATCCTTTTTATCCTTAATTTAAAAATTTTTTTTTAATATTTTATTTCTGGAGTTTTCTGACCCGGAACGGCCTTGCTGTTATGGAGATTCTGCTATAAGTGAAATCCAAACAAAGTCTGCCAGATACCAACAACCCAGGAAGGATGATGGCAGGGAGATGGCAAAAGCAATGAAACCCACCTTCCCCAGGTCTAGGCTGCTCTCTGCTCACCTAGTGTTAAGGGAACAGCATTCCCAGGGGCCAGGGTCTCTTTACCTGTCCCTCAGCCCCACCAACTTGGTTACCAGGTCCTATACTTATATTCCTAGTTTTAATTAGGAAACCCTAATATCACTCTGCTTCTCTCATATTGGTATTATATCCTGACCAAAGTTCCAAGGAATCACAGGAAGGGGAGGAATTTAATGGGATTATTTTTAAAGCTCTTTAATATATTCCCTTAGTTCAAGAGATCATTTAAAACTTGAAATGTGATGAGTCACACTATCCTCTGATACCAAGGAACTAATATATCCAGGAAAGTATTTAGTATTTAGCAATATATAAAGGAATAAACATAAATATATTCAAGACATTTCTTGATTATCAGTATTACATTCCAAAGTTCTCTCTTTCACTATAAAGCAGAATCTCATGTCATCAGAAACATAACCTCTTTCGGGTGCTTGGAAAGCCATAAGAACAAATGTTCCCTTCCACTCTAAAGTCAAGGGGTCATCTTGCTAACTAGTGGTTGGTGTGCACCATTACCTGGGGCTCCTCTGGAGGCAATGTTGGTATCTGAATGGGAACGAATATGGCTCTTCTTTGTCCCACTGGAGATAGTGACAGTCTGCCCCTCTGAGAAGCTAGATCTTCGAAGGACATTGGACAGCTGACTCTGCCCCCCACCCTCTTGGTCCCCTAAAGAAGAAGAAGCAGAATCTGGCTTCTGGGAGCTACCAGAGGAGAACAAATTGGAACTGCTACTTTCAGCATTGCTGCTGTGACTCTGACAGCTGGCAGTCCGGCCATGGGGGTCCAGGTTGCCAATGGCCAGGTACTCAGGTCCCTCACTGGCATCGCTTGGCGAATCATTCTGGCTGCTAACCCAGGATGCCTCTATAGGGCTGGTCAGAGTGCTGGAGCTCATCTCATTTGGGGTCAATGCAGAATCCCTGGCTACTGCAGAGTCTGAAAGCTCGGGAGCTTGGATGGTTTGATCCTCTGCTAGTGAGAGGTGTCCTCTGCTTTCTTGAGGTTTCTGGGGAATGCTGGAGAGGGAAAAGGAAGTAGATCTTCTTTCTAAAATATAAAAAATAAAGAATAAGGGAAAGGAAGATAAGCTAACAATAAAAATAAAAATTAAAAAGAGTATCTATTACCTATAAGCCATAACACATAAAAAACTTGTATAAAATTTTCTACTAAATCAAAAAAAGAAAAAAATAAAGATTTTTTAAAAAAGAGTAATCTAGAGGTCTACAGTATGCACGAAAGGCTTCTCCACAACTTAAGACCAATTCTCTATCATTACTGGGTACTGAGGACAGATGTTACTTCAGAAAAGGTAAGTCAATTAAAGTGAAAAATTATTTAGAAGCAGCTAGGTCAAGATCCTGGGCTCTCGAGATAGAGGCTTTATGTCCTGTTGTTATGTACTCCTCATCTGCAAAATGAGCAATAATAATAACACCACCTCCCTCACAGGACTGTTTTAAGAATCAAATGAGATACTACATATAAACAGATTATAATAGAGATCAGCATGTTGTAGGCACTCAAAAAATGTTAGCAATTATTAAATGCCTTCTTTCACTGTAGATTAGAAACTCAAAATAATCAAAAAACACTATAATATACCCATAAAAATGTGAGGGAAAAAAGAATCTAAAAATCTCTCTTTCCTCTATTACTTTTTTTTTTGTGTATGTGGTGCTGAGGATTGAATCCACAGCCTTGTGCATGCTAGGCAAGCACTCTACCAACTGAGCTATATCCCCAGCCCCCCTCTATTACTTTAATTATGTTATATTTGCTGCTATATAACTTTTTAAATATATATGAAGTTTGACAACCTATACCAACTCAAGTCTCAATTCCCAGTCTGTGAGCACTTACAAAATCCTCTACTTTCCAGGCCTGGAGATACATGGAACCACCACCCCTTCCTGCATCCATACCTGAACTGTGGTTGGGCACAGATTGGTGGAGACCAGAGGAGGACCCAAAGTAGGAATGCTGAGCATAGCTGGTTGGAGGGGTACATGTAGAACCAGGCAGAGCTGTCAGGCTCTGGCTCTTTGTTACCAGCAGTGGGCTCTCGTGCTTTCTGGCAAACTAAAACAAAACAAAACATTTGTCAGAGTCAAGGATAGAGGCCCTTACAGGAGAGGCAGTCAATACTTCAGAAATGCTGATAAAAGCTGGCCTTTGGCAGCAAGCCTGGACTAGAGCCAGATCCTATAAACATAGCACAGCTACCTTCTAATACAGCATAAACTGAAACTGTGAAGTCCTGCTGTACACCACAGCTTCTGCAATGGAATCCTTCTAGGTGGTCTAAGTAGATGGGGTAAGCTTATTATAGGTAATAAAATTTTCTTTATACCCAAGGAAAAAAAAAGTCCCATGTACCATTAACCTATACTAGGTATGACACTGTAAACCAACTCCGAATTCAGAACTAACCTTCTTCTCCCCAGCTCTTCATCAAACCTGCATTAAGGAGGTATTTACTCAGACCAAGGGCCATAAGGACTTAAAAAACACCTACACCTCCCTACCCCACTCCTACTTCCCCCACAGCAAATAAGACCTAAGCTTAGATTTTTCACTTCAATAAATTTTTCATTTGTTTGTTTGTTTTTGGTATAGGGTACTTAACTACTGAGACATATCCCCAGCCCTTTTTATTTTTTGTTTTAAGACAGGGTCTTGCTAAGTTACTGAGGCTGGCCTCAAACTTGGGATCCTCTTTTCTCAGCCTCTCATGTTTCTGGCTTCAATAAGTATTTAATGGGGGCTTCAATAAGTATCTAATTCAGTGGTAGAACCCTTGCCTACCATGTAAGGCCCTAGGTTTGATCCCTAGCACAATATAAACAAAGAAACTTAATGGTACCTCTTTGTTTTTTAAATATTTTTAGAAATGGAAGTCTTAGGAACTAAGAGGTAAAGCTTAGTGGTAGAGCACTTGCTTAGCATGTAAGAGGTCCTGGGTTTGATCCCCGGCATCACACACAAAAAAAATTAAAATAAAAATGAAAGTCTTTCCATTCACAACTGCCTCTGTGAAGAAGTCATTTGCTACTGTGAATTAAATCATGATGAGGTCTGGGGCCCAGCACAGACATGGATAATTCCTTGCGCTCTTTACCATAGATGCATCAATCTGAGCCAGGAGGCGGGGGTTGTTCTGTTCCACAGCTTCCAGGCATTGAAGCATGGCTGTGACGTGGGCATCGCTTAGCAGGAAAGCAGTATCTGGGAAGAGAAAAGTTATCACAGAGATGAAATCCAGCAGGGAGAGCTTTGGCCTCCTTGAATGGCCCTGGGAGAGAGAGAAGAGAAAGAAAGTAAAAAGAATTGAGGAGAAACATTCCACTGAAGGGAGAAAGGGAATTAGGGACAAGTAAAGTATAGGAGAAGCTAAGCCATGTCCAGTAAGCAAAGAGCTCAAGATAAGAGGCTTCAAAAAAAAAAAAAAAAAGACTAAATTCTGGCTCTGGGTGACTTTGGCCAAATCACCTAACCTCCTTGAACTCTGTTTCTCTGATGGGAAAATAGGAGTACTAATGCCTGACTCTTAGGGATTATTGTGATGAGGACAGTATCACAGTGCCTGGCCCAACAGAAACTCTCGATAAATGGTTGTTACGTACATTTTGGTTACACCATTACTGGTTTGTGTGTATGGGTATAGTGGAATACTTAGCATAAGGTTTTATTGTTTTTCAAGGGAGGTGAAAAGGAAGACAGGATATGTTTCTAAGTAAGAATCTCTTGGCATCAAGTGAAAAATATGAGGCTCTGGAATTAGAGAGACCTTATAGAGGAATAGTAGAAGAGAATAAGGAAGTATATACAGCAACCCTAAGTGATCTCTACCCACCTGTGTAGAATTTTCTAATATACTGTCTATCCCCAAGCAGAGGTCGAAGCTGGGCTGAGAGGCAGTGGCACTGTAAGCTGTGCTGTAGCCACAACTCTGCAACAGCATGCTCACTCACACCATCGGCATTATTCTGGCCATTCTCATGTAAGTTGATGAACTGTGAGACAAAGAGGCAAGAGTCAAAGTATACATCCTGTTAGATACAGCAGGATTGAGGCCTAATGACCCAAGAACTCACTGAGATAGGTAAAGGGAGGCAATCAGAAGTATTTTTCTCTAGCTAGCATCTAGAGGATACTAGAGTTAGAGAATGATGTAAGGGATTAATAGTTTCCTTGATGAATTGTACCACTAGTGAGGAACTAAGCAGTTAAGACCTGATATGCAATTCTAGGAGAGGCAACTCCAGGAAAGACAAAGCTGCTACACTGGCTCTTTTTTTCCTAAAGTACTTGGAATTGAGCACAGGGCCTTGCAAGGCAAGCACTCTTCCTCTGAGCTGCACCCACTCCCACCCCTGAGCCTTTTAAAAAATTTTATCCGGAGATAGGGTCTCAATAAGTTGCCCAGGCTGGCTACCAACTTATGATCCTCATACCTTAGCCTCCACCTCCTGACTAACTGGGACTATAAGTGTCCACCACTATGCCAATCTACATCTGTCTCTGTTCTGGGATACTCAGAGGAAGGAAAAACTTGACCTCTTGGCTTTTCTCAGAGTCCTCTATTTTAGGTGGCCTTCAAAAAAGAATGTGACAAAAATCTTGGGGGGTGGGAGGCATCTTGGAAAAATGCCACTGAAGAGAAGCCATCTGAGCACTTCTTTTTCGCTTTAGATGCAAAGTTCTGTTTGGAACCTTGATCTTGAATGTTTTTAAGAATAAAATCTTGTAGCCCAGGATTAGTCTGACAAAATATATGAATGGCAATTTCAGGCATCTTTTAAGAGAAAATAACAATAGCAACATAATTTAGAAAAGAAGTTAGAGGAAGGCTTAGTGGGAAAAATAGTAGTGATGAGAAAAAAGGAAATAACAGGCTTTTCTATAGAATTGAGGCACTGTGATTTGGTTTCCTGATTATCTAGAAAGAAGCTACTTTTCCTAACATTATCTTAGCAATGAATCTAGCATTGGGGGGTATGCACAGAACAAGATTGGCAGTACATTGACAAATGCTGAAGTGGGGTGATGGATAGTTTGGAGTTTGTTTTGTTTTTCTAATTTTATATATATTTGAAATTTTCCATAATATAGAGTGAAATGAATATATACATAAACTTGGCAGTGATTGTTTTGGAACCAGGTGTGTAACTTCAGCCATTATCACCTAACTTTTGAGTTCAGTTTCCCTGATTAGAAATCAGGGGTACCATATTAAGCTGAGAACAGGAGAGAGAAGTACTATAACAGTAGCCAAAGCTGTTAGGGACATCATACTTGGTTCCATTTGATATTGGCCTACAGAAATCTCACATTCCTTTCTAACTGGTACTTTTTCTTCTTAAATAATTAGCATAAAAGTCCCACTTCCCCTGTTATTTTAGAAAAACTCTTGCCATTTTCCCTAGATTTTGAAGAGCTTATTTATGGTCCCACATTCACAGATCTTTACACCTTCCCCAGAGGAGAGAAAGTGACCTGGATCAATAGGTCTGTAAGGTTTATTTTTTAATTTTTGGTACTGGGGTTTGAACCCAAGAGCACTTAACTGTTGAGCCACACCCCTAACCCTTTTTATTTTGAGACAGGGTCTCACTAAATTGTTAGGGCCTCCCTAAATTGCTGAGGATGGCCTCAAACTTGCAATCCTCCTGCTTCAACATCCCAAGTTGCTGGGATTACAGGTATATGCCACCATGCCCTGCAGGTTTATTTATTTATTTACTTATTTTTAAAGTAAATGCCAGTTCTACAGGAATAACTTCCTTTCCTCAGTTATCAGGAAACTGGATACACTCCATTCTAGGCGAGAATTCTCTTCCAACTGAACATCAAACAGTGAAGACTTGCAGCTGCACCTTAGAATACCAGTTCTTCTTTCACGCTTACCTTCTCTACATGAAGGGCTGAGTGGGGACTAAGCCACCGGATGTCTTTCACAAATTGCCAGTAATCAGTTTGGCGGCAACAAACCTGATAAAGGAACACACAAAGTGAGCAAATCACTACCATTCTGGACCATATCTAGTTTTACTATTGACTTTCAAAGACAGAAAAAAAGAGCATAATCTTCCCTTTCCTCAACAAAAGTTCTCAGCAGCAATCAAAGGAATATATACACATCTTCACCCTTTTAAAGATTGTTTAAAACTTCTTTAATCATTCTTCTGAACAGGTGTACACGCATATGATATACACAGCATACAGTGGAAGTAATCTCTTTTCTACTTCTTTCTACCATTCAGTTTCCTAAATAGTAATTCTTAAAGCTGGTGAAGAACTATTAAAAGCCAGAGATAAACACCTTCAGTACTTACTACAAACAAAGTCAACTAAGGAAACACTTGCTTTTCTCATGCTACCCAGTTCAGGAAATGGCTGTATTTAGAGTGAAAGAAATGCTCAGTCCTACATAAAATGGTCTTAGACAGGAAAAGGCCCAAACACAATAACAAAATGCTTACATCATGAAAACCTAATTGATTTTTTAGAATCCTTCACCAGACTATCCAGCAGAAGTTAAAATTGAAATTTAAATAATTTTGAAAATAAAGAACTAGCACAAGTATCAAGAGACAAACCAGTTAATGGAACAGAATAAACAGCCTAGAAAGAGACCTTAAAATACATTAGAACCTAATATAGAATCCAAAAGCATCTCAAAAGTCGATAGTAAGAACCATTATGAATTATTATATACCACCAAATTAGAAAACTTAGAACACATAAATTTCTGAGCACACATAACCTAACCAATGAACTATGAAGATGCAAAACCTAAACAGAGGGCTGGGGTTGTGGCTCAGTGGTAGAGAGCTTGCCTCACACATGTGAGACACTGGGTTTGATCCTCAGCATCACATAAAAATAAATAAACAAAATAAAGATATTATGTCCATATATAACTAAAAATATTTTTTAAAAAACCTAAACAGACTAATAACAAGTAATGATGTTAAGTCAGTAATAAAAAGTGCACCAAAAAGAAAAGCCCAGGACCAAATGGCTTCACTGACGAATTTCATCAAAATTTTAAAAAACTAATATTACCAGGTGTAGTGGTGCACAGCTATAATCCCAATGACATGGAAGGCAGGAGAACTGCAATATCAAGGAAAATCTGGACATAGTAAGATCCTTTCTCAAAATTAAAAAAAAAAAAAATTTAAAGGGCTGGGGATATAACTCAGTGGTTAGCCCTGGTACTGCCAAAAACAAACAAACATAAATAAATAATAAAATAAACTGAATACCAATGCTTCTCAAACTATTTGTTTATTCATTTATTAGTTTCCTTCCAGAGAATTTGAAGGGAGGGAACTCTTTAAGTCTCATTCTATGAGGTCAGCATTACCCTAAAATCAAAACCAGACAAAGATATAACAGTAAAAAGAAAAAAACATACTGATTAGTATCCCCAATGGATGTAAATGCAAAAATTCTCAACAAAATACTAACAAATCAATTCCAACAGCATATCAAAAAGACTGTATTTCATTATCACTGACAGATTGGTGCACACCTGTAATCCCAGCAACTGGGAAAGCTGAAGCAGGAGGATTGCAAGTTTGAGGTTAGTCTCAGCAACTTAGCAAGACCCTGTCTCAAAATAAAAAATATAAAGGGCAGGAGATATTGCTCAGTAGAGTGCCCTTAGGTCCAATCTCTAGTACTGCCAAAACAAAGAGAGAGAGAAAAGATTATATACCATGATCAAGTTGGATTTATCCTGGGAAATGTAAGGATGGTTCAACATATACAAATTAATAAAAATAAATCACATCAGAATGAAGGACAAAAATGATATTATCAACCAATAGGAACAGAGAGTATTACAAATTTTAAATTTCTTTACAGGGCTAGGGATGTAGTTAAGTGGTAGAACACTTGCTTAATATACTGAAAATTCTGGGTTTGCTCATCAGCATTCCAAAACAAAAACAAACAAACAAAAAAACCAACCCTCAAAAAATTTTCTCTTTATAAAATAAAAAACAGTATGAATGTTCATTTTATAAAAGATAAAAATACATAAACACCTTGAACATTTGTCTGAAGAGTACTGATTACATAAATTAGGTTATATACATATGTGTAATATTATATATACATTAAAGACAAAGCTGTATATTTGATAAAAAAGTGATGGCTTCCCAATTCTTCTTATTCTGGGAAAGAAGCACTTTCTCCAGTTAGGTATAGATGATTCCCTAGAATAACCATGCACTTTTATTACAACCAATAAAGGTGCAGCTTACCAAGAATGTTATTTTATGTTCCCAAATTTATTTTTTGTCAATCGTACTTGTTATAATTTCACATTTAAAATCATGATTATTCACACTGAGAAAATAACTGGTATAACCAGATGTGCTGGTGTACGCCTGTAATCCCAGTAGCTAGTGAGGCTGAGACAGGAGAATTGCAAGTTTGTGGCCAGCTTCAGCAATTTAGTGAGACACTAAGCAACTCAGTGAGACTCTTTGTCAAAATAAAAACTAAAAAGTGCTAGGTATGTAGCTCAGTGGTAAACTTGAGCCTGGATTAAATCCCCAGTATAAACAAAACAAAAACAAAAACAAAAAAATCCTGATATATTTATGAATACTAAATAGTATGCTCTGAAAAACCTTTTCAATAAAGGTAAGTCATAAAGACTTGAAGTCAAATTAGGTAGAGGCAAGACAATTTTTAGAAGTTTAAAAAAACAGAAAAATAGAGATTTTTATATTCATATTATAGGATCTTTAAGTTACTGATTCAGTACAAAGAAAGTGAAACTGGAAATTCTGTATGATATATTATAGGTGTGGTTTATATAAGAAAGATGATGTAGAAATTCTCTGGAAAGAAACTAGTAAATAATAGTTAACTATGGGATCAGAAAGGAACACGATTCTTCACTATATTTTTTATACTTTCTAATGTTTTTAACCACATTAAGTAATGGTATATTCAAAAAATTGAAGATATGAACATAAGTTGTAGAGTGATAAACAATGATACTACCATTTTTTAGAAAGAATATAAATACATGGGAAAAAGTTCAAGACAATCTAACAAAATATTAAAGTTGTTATTACTTGGTGTTAAGATTATGGGTGACATTTACTCTTCTTTCTGGTATTTGCCAAATGTTCAACAAATAAGAATTTATTTAATTTACATACTCAGAAAAAAAAACAGATCTTTTTCATTATTTTTGTTATTTTTAAAATTGGGCTAATTTGTTATGAACAGTTTCTTCTTGGTGATGGAAAAGCAGGGAATTCTTTGACTTCTCCTAATTCAGCTATCTCAGGGTCTGAGTGTCTCCACATTTCCAGTAGTAGAATAGAGATTATAAAATATGCCTTGCTTCATGGAAGGACTAAAAGGTAGTCCAGATACAGGCTGTCAAGGAAAATAAGATCCTTGATTAAGAATACCATCATGGGCTGGGGTTGTGGCTCAGTGGTAGAGTGCTTTCTTTGCACGTGTGAGGTACTAGGTTCATTCCTCAGCACCACATAAAAACAAATAAAAATAAAGATATTGTGTCCATCTACAACTTAAAAAAATACCATCATGATGCTATAGCTTTTCAAATGCCCTAAGTGATTAAAAAACAATAATTCATATTCCATTACACATCCTTATGAAAATACAGGAGACATGACCAACATGAAGCATTGTATCCCTTCCCCCACTCTAAGGATATAACACCCAGAATAGCTTGATGACACAGCAGCCTGAAACCCTTTGAAAGCCTTAATCTTTTGGGGAGGAAGTGAAAAAGGAAAAATAAGTCCTTGACACAGACTTTATTTCTTAGATCTTTTAAGGCAGAACAAAGCAGTAATGAAGTTGGCATGAATCTATTGTTTTTTATTTTTCCCCGTTAGAGCTTCTACTTGAGAAGTGTGTGTGTGTGTGTGTGTGTGTGTGTGTGTGTGAGAGAGAGAGAGAGAGAGAGAGAGAGAGAGAGAGAGAGAAAACGTATGACAGATTAGAGAGAGAGAGAGAGAGAGAGAAAGAGAAAACGTATGACAGATTTGCCTGGTTTGCTCTGCTTTTATTTATTAACAGTACTGCTGTCTGGCAAGTGATCACATACTTTGATGCTTTTTATTCTGATGACCAGGTGCTTTCACAGATATTATGCTTTCAATAACTGGAACAAAATATGCTTCTAATATTGTGCATTTACAAAGCATCTTTCATTTAAGAATCTCATTGACTTTACTATTTCATCATGATACATTTTCTTTTTCTAGTACAGATGATAAACTATCTAATTATATGGTTAAGTGACTACTCTAGATGAAAATGTAAAATTGGTAATAGAGCCAAGAAAATAACCTATTTGTTATTGAGACATAAGTACTTTAACCACTAAAGGCAACACCTCTGACTTGGTATCTATTTTGGTCATTAGTCCAGGAAATTTGCAGTTTTTGTAAAACATGTTGGTATGATTCTTGGGTACTGGCTCAGCACACTTAGTAAGTCAACGTTACAAATTAGTATAAAGAATATCATGAGGAAGGACAATCTCATGAGAAAAAATAAGTTTAGTATTGATTATGCTTAGCCTGTAGGATGGACAGCCATATGGCAAGATATAGGAAATTGCTAGTCTTATGGACCTAGAATTCATCAGAGAAGTCTGAGCTGGGCATCATCAATGCACAAGTAATAGTTACAACAATGAAAATAGATGAGATTGTTTCAGGAAAATGTACAGAGTAAGAAGAGACAAGGACATACAGGAGAACACCACAAAAAAAAAAATCATAAAGGAAGAAATTTGCCGGGCTCAGTGGCATACACCTGTAATCCCAGTGGCTTAGGAGGTTAAGTCAGGAAGATTACGATTTCAATTTGAACTTCAAGCAAAAGCAAGGTACTAAGCAACTCAGTGAAACCTTGTCTCTAAATAAAATATAAAATAGGGCTGGGGATGTGGCTCAGTGGTTGAGTGCCCCTGAGTTCAATCCCCAGTAACCGCCACCCCCCCAAAAAAAGGAAGAAATTTTAGGGAAAGAAACTGAAGAGTGGTACAAATGAAGAACAATAATCCTATGACATAAGATATTGTCATATAAATCAGGATTTCATGATGGTCAACAATACTACACATAAAATAGAATTCAAAGGAGAAATGTTCATAAGATTAGGTAACATAGATGTCATTTTTCTTAAACTGAACTGTTAAGATCACCAGCAGTGAGGGCAGACAACAGAGTTCAGTGAGTGAATGTAATTGCTTTGAAAATTTCAATGTTCTTGGGGATGGGATTGTGGCTCAGCAGTAAAGCGCTTATCTAGCACATGCGAGGCCCTGGGTTCGGTCCTCAGCACCACATAAAAATAAATAAAATAAAATAAAAATATTGTGTCCAACTACTTCTAAAAAAAAAGTTAAAAAAATTTCTATGTTCTTGATCACACAGAATTACAAGTAATTGGAAACTAAAATAATGAAGGAATATTAATTACTTCTTATATGCCACAAACTACTAGACAGATTTTTCTTCATTTAATTTTCTTCACTTAATTTTTCCATCAAGATTTATTTTATAAAATAAATATCATTATCCTCATCTGAATAGACAAAAAGGGCCAAGGCTCAAAAAAAGTTAAGTAATATCACCAAATAGTGAAGATTGGCTGACAACTATATTTTCTAATGTTTTTCATGTATTACCTAAGTCTCACAGCAACCCTTGGAGGTGGGCACCAGTGAACATAACTTACCCATTATTACATAATTTATGGTGACACTGAGATTAAACTATGAGAAGTGTGGTCAGGTGTAATTCCAGCACCTCAGGAGGCTGAGACATGAGGATTAGAAGTTCAAAGCCAGCCTCAGCAATTCATCAAGACCCTAAGCAACTAAGTGAGGCCCTGTCCCAAAATAAAAAAAAAAATAAAAAGGGTTTAACAAAAAAAAAGCAGTGCAACTTTAAAGTCCATAATTATTGTCATTTTATTTATTATTATGTCATTTTATTTCCCAAGAACTTGGGCATTGAGTCTATATTTTGATCTACATACTATTTGATTCCAAAGACTTCTGTCAGTCCATTATACAATGTTGCCTTCATATTCCTAGAAAAGTGTTTTATATTTTATTTTGGTAGAAGGAATTAAACCCAGAGGTGCTTTACCACCAAGCCACATCCCTAGCCCTTTTTATTTTTAGACAGGGACTCAATAAATTGCTGGGGCCCCACTAAATTGTCCTTGGATTTTTGATCCTCCTGCTTGACTCCTGCCCAAGTCACTGGGATTACAGACATGTGCCACTGCACCTAGCTCCCTCCTTCCTTCCTTCCTTCCTCTGTTCCTCCCTCCCTTCCTTTCTCCCTCCCTCCCTACCTCCCTTCCTTCCCTCCCTCTCTTCCTTCCTTCCCTCTCTTCCTTCCTTCCCTCCCTCCCTCCCTCCTTCCTTCTCTCCCTCCTTCTCTCCTTCCCTCCTTCCCTCCTTCCTTCCTTCCTTCCTTCCTTCCTTGTACCAGGGATTGAACTGAGGGTCATTTAACAACTAAGTCACATCCCCAGCCCTTCTTGTATGTTTTGAGACAAGGTCTCACTAAGTCCTCAGACCTTGCTAAATTGCTGAGGTTGGTCTCAAACTTGAAATTCTTCTGCCTCAGCCTCCTGAGGCACTGGGATTACAAGTATAGCCATGCAGTCAGCTGGAAAGATGTTTTTAAAATGATGACCATTAGAATTCAGCTCTTTAAATGCTCATGTTTTTTCTATCTTCCAAGTCCTTTAAGACACAGGAACTCACCTTCAGAACTTACTCTGAATAGAAAAATTCTAATCTAAGCTAACTTTCCCATTGAATTATAAAAATACCCAACAGGAACACTGGTTTAAAGATATTTTTCAGAAGCAATATACATATCTTTCTAGAAGGGAAGGTAACATTATATTCTATCAAGTATGAACACTTTCACTACAGCCTATTAGATCTTTTGCAATATGACTACCAACTGAAAACAAATTCTGATAAAAAAGAAAATGAGCTTGGGCAGGGGAAAGGATTTCCAGGAAACAATACTCGTCCCTGACATGGGAGGATATGAGTGTTTATAAGTACATAATTGTGCATATATTTGTGAAGTTTGATGTTTTAAAAGACTGTATTAAACCCCAATGACTCACTAGAAAATTTTACCCATAACAAAACCTTATTTGAAACACTGCAAATGGAGTAATTGCCAAAGATAAAGCAAAAACCATTAAGTATTATAGGATTCCATTTATTTTTGAAACTCAATGTTATTAGAATTGAGGATATAAAGAAAAAGAAACTCAACATCAAATAAAGTTTATAACAAAAACACAAATTAAAATCAAAACTACCACTCAGAAACATCAACCAGTTGTCTACAAAGTAATGTTCAAAGGATATTAAAAAAAACGATAATATAATTATTTCTCAAATGTGTCCTGGGATGCTCCTAAGAGAAAAATCCCAATGACTCAATCACTATTAACTACTCAGGCTAATCTTCATTTCTCTTCACCTCGTTTTCACTAGTCATTTCTAAAACTGCTGGAGTTTTCATGTGAATTTTGAGGATGAATTCTCACTAGCCCTATAAGTAAAGTATTTAATTCTTTCATCCTATTACTAATTTAAAGCAAAGATAGTAATAAAAAAAATTCTGAATTTAGGAAACAATGAAAAATCCAATTCAAAGAGAATCAGGGAGGAGGGTGTGGGAATGTGAACCATGGTTTTAAAACAAACCTAAGATTTAGGGGGGAAAAAAAAAAGCCTCTTGACTTTGGTTGACTAACAATGGTCCTACAAGGTCGGCACAGTGGGGTATGCCTGTAATTCCAGCAGCTCAGGAGGCTGAAATAGGAGGATCATGAGTTCAAAGCCAGCCTCAAAGCAAAGCAACTCAGTGAGACCCTGTCTCTGAGTAAAATACAAAATAGGGCTGGGGATGTGGCTCAGTAGTCGAGTGCCCCCAAGTTCAATCCCCGGTACCCAAAAAGAAAAAAGAAAAATGGTACTCCAAGACATCCACATCCCAATTCCTAGAACCTGTGAATGTTACCCTTTATGGCAAAAGGGACTTGGCAGTTGTGATTAAATTAAGGATCTTTTGACTGATACAATACTGCACACCTATAATCCCAGGTACTCAAGAGGCTGAGGCAAATTCAAATTCAAAGTCAGTCGGTACGATTTGTCTCAAAATAAAAAATTACAAGGCCAGGAATGTAGGTCAGTGGTACAGTACCCCTGGATTCAATCCCCAGTACTGCCAAAAGAGTAGGAGGGAGGAGGAGGAAGAGGAGGGGAAGAAAGAGAAGAAGAAGAAAAAGAAGAAAAGGAAGAGGAGGAGGAGGAAGAAGAAAAAGGAGGAGGAGGAGGAAAAAAAATTAAGGAACTTGAGATGGTGAGATTATCCAGGTGGGCCCTATGTAATTACAGGAGTTCTTCTAAGAGGTATTGAGGATAGAGGAAGGGGCTAGGAGCCAAAGAATTCAAGGAATGCAACTCTAGAAGCCAAAAAGGCAAAGAAATGGGAGAATCCCCTAGAGCCTCCAGAAGCACAGTCCTGCAGACACCATGCTTTTAGCCTAGTGAAACTTAAGTCAGAAATGTGACCTCAAATAATAAGTTATAATAATATTATTAAAATATATAACATTATATACTCATATATAATAATATATACTACTATGTTATATAACATTGTATATATAATTATATATTATCACATATTATATAATATATTATACACAATAATATATTATTAAAATAATATTAGTGTTTTAATACTTAAATAATAACTGTAAAATAATAAGCCATTAAGTTCATAGTCATTTGTTAAAGCAACAACAGTTAACATAAACTGATCATTGATAATATGCTGTCACACTCAGCAATTTATTCATTCCACTGACATCTTTGGTACATCAGGCACTAAGTAAAATGTTTTGGATCAAAAAAAAATAATGTATTAAATTTCAATCCTACCATTAAGAGCTCACAGACAGACTGAGGTTGTGGTTCAGTGGTATAGTACTTGCCTGGCATGTGTAAGGCACTAGGTTCAATCCTTGGCATCACATATAAATTCTACTGATTTATATAGAATTTATGTATTGTTTCTGTCTACAACTAAAAAAAAAAAAAAAGAGCTCACAGACTAGTGCCCTTCATCTTCTCTCTGCCAAACACCTTCATGCAACTATTAACTATTTGTTTCCAACAAGTAATACAGAATTAGAAAAAAATAAGATTTCTACATACCTGGTCATGTATGAGCCCATGATAGAGAATGCTCTGCATGTCCCTACAAAGCCGCTCCAGGCCACCATACTTGGACCAAACATTGGGGCTATTGGCTGACACCAAACCTTCAACAGTAGTCTTCAAATTGCCCAGCAACTGCCAGTGCTCCCTCCTGCAATTATATCAATGTTTAGTTAAATTTGTTATACCTGATTTCTGATCATACCAAACAAAGTCTAAGCCAAGGATCCTTCTGCCCACATTCTAACGTTCTCTCCTCCATTCATTTTACACTTGAGAATAGACTCTTACAGGATAAAACTATAAAGAACACTAAAATTAAAAAGAAGAAACAAACTATCAAACACCCTTATTTTATATGACACATTATACTTTGTGAATGATTTTCATCTACTGTCTAATTCAATCTTCATATAAGTAGTCTACAACTCTGTGTATTTAGGAGTATGACATATTAAGATCCATTTCTGAACAGTGACAGTACAAGGGCAAAAAGATGAGTGCATTTACTTAGAACCAGAAATCTTTTACCAAATAAGCAAACAAAAAGCCAAACACTACTTTGTATTCAATATTATTTCTAAGCACTAAGTACAATATAGTAAAGGGCAGAAAGTATTCATGTACATACTCACATAAATATGGATAAGAACACAAATGTCCTCCATGATTTTTAAGTTAAAATTCAGACAAAATTGTTTTAAAGTTTGCACTGAGCCACTTTAGGAAATGTTCCCAAACCAGTCCATTATCAGCTCATTCTCCTAGATGACTTGATGTACTTTGGTGGAAAAGTTTGAAATTGCTGTCCTAGAAGATCCTCAACTTTTCTCTTAAATCTCCAACATTTTGTCAATATAGTTTCCAACACAATAAAAACTCAAAACCAAATGTAAGTGAATGAAAGAGCTGGATATATGCTCAATCAAACTAGGCAAGAAAAACATGAGAAGTGTCAAACTCTGCCTCTTGGGCCCCCATTCGTTATGTTGCACACTTTATCTTCCTCTTATTTCTTTTTAGAATATACTTCCTTCTTCAGGGCAATGATTTCTTCAGAGAACTTTCACCATAACTGTTTTATATCATATAAATATCTATGGGGGGGGTCCTGAATTAAAATCCTTTCTATCAATACTCCAAACTAATCTCTTTTGTTAATTTTTGGAGATATTTTAGGAAAGTAGATGAGGAAAGTAAAATTCATAAATAAAATCAATGATAGATAGGGTATAAGAGTGTTATCTCAAAAGGGAGGTCCAGATGGATCTCACTCCGGTCTTCTGCTCTGAAGGTCTTGTGAACAAGAATTTATTTAAATTGGAGACAACCAGTTTCCTTAACTTTATCTCATTAAACATGGATCACCAGACTTGTTCTATGTCTGTATCAGAGGGACTAACGTGATCACTAAAATGCCAACTGACTGCCAACTTTTAGCTCCAACTATGCTTTATCAGAGCTAACCTCAGGTCTTCTGACACAGTTTTCACATTCCAACAGGCTACCGTCAAGTCTTACAGGCCTGAAAACCTGTCTGGCTTAACAGGTGACTCTGCATATCTGTGTTCTGATTCATTCTGCATTAGCTGTCAAAGAATAGCAAGATAAATTCCACAAGCAAACATCAAATACCCTATCACCCTAGAACTTTGCTTCTAAAGTTATACAAACAGCAATGAAATCCTCAAAACTATGAACATTCATATCTACTAATAGCTTCCTTTGGATGATGCTAAGGAACTTTTCTTTCTCCACAGTAACATTCCCTTGAGTTGTCAAAGCTACAAAAGAATGTGACTTTTATTCTATAATATACTCAATAATCTATATTTGGAGTGTGTGTGTGTGAGACACACTAACACACACACACACATACACATACATATATGCTCACCTAGAAGTAAACCAAACTTTTTTTAAAAATTGATTTACATGATTAGTCTGTGTCTTCACCTTGTTATTGTCCTCTACCCTAATGATACAAATATCATTTTCAGAGTGTTGAAATACTAAATTCAATTGATGCCCATACATAGCAGTTGGATTAATCCATTAGATGCAAGCAAACAAATCACCATGGAGAAATCAAATATCCTTTCCCTATTCTTTAACCACATTTTCAGCTGGTAAGGCCAGTTTTTCCTAGCTTAAACCTGTTTGATAATAATTATTTGTATGGTATCACCTTTTATTCACAAGTAGCCTTTACCTGGACACAGTATATTAGATTGAGAAGTGTATTAGGTTGAGAGCAGTCCTTGGAAGAATAGCTTTCACAAGTACACAAAATGTTTCTTCCTTATTCACCCTAAAATAAAAGCATGTATTTCTAAGTCTCTCACTCTCTGCCAAAGAGGAACTAGGCCTGAGTGCAAGGGAAAGCATAACTTACCTCCACCTAAATCATTTTCATCAACTCACAGTAAAACCAATTTCAGAATAAAGTCCCACCTAATTTTTAAAATAATTTTTTTAGTTCTAGATGGACACAATATCTTTACTTTTATTTTTATGTGGTGCTGAGGATAGAATCCAGTGTCTCATACATGTGAGGCAAGTGCTCTACCACTGAGCTACAGCCCCAGCCCCCTACCTAATTTCTTTTGAGAGGATTTTGACTACATTCCTCCTTTAAAGAGGAATAGAAATTGCTTAAGTGACTCAAGGACATCTAGAGGAAAAATAATTTTCCTAAATGCCAACTCAGTCTTAAGTTTGCCAAATTATAATAAGGAGCACCAAGATTAAAACAAAAAAAAAGTTACAAACAAATCTTATTTTTAAGAAACTTGTATTATCATATATATGTAACTAAAATATAACTAATAACTAAAAATAAGTGATATATAATAAATAAGGGAAAGTACTTTGCAAATATAAAGGGAGATTCAACGGAATAAATATATACAGACACATCATCAATCTCCAAGTACTCTTATTAGTGGTAAAGAGAAACAACTTCAGCTCATCAGCACATGCCTTCCATCCAGTAACTTTTATCTAGACTGGGTCATGGTATCATTACCTGATACTTCACCACAGTTGAAGATCAATCTGTACCAAGTAAGGAGAGAGAAGTATGATATCCATATAATGAAATACCATGAAAGAATTGAAATTCTTGATCAAAAAGATTTCAAAGCTAATGATAGTATATTAAACTATAAAAAGGCAAAATGTAATGTTACATTTATGCCACAACATAAAGACACTAAAAAAATGTTTACAGCAGTAAATTTTGGTGATATTAAGGGAACACAGAGAAGAGGGGAAAAGTTTAGGTGTTCTTTGAAACCAGTAATTAATAATGGATCAATGATCTGAACAAAGTTAGCAAACAAGAAACTGGAAAGCACCATAAAGGATTTTTTTTAATACCCAAGTATCAGGGGCTTCCTAGGCTGAAAGACTGTGGTCAGGTAAGCCCCTGGGAATTTTAATTCTAGAAAACACTTCCTGGAAAGAAGTAATGGGTTCCTCCTCAAGGGAGAGGAAAAAAAATTAAGAGAGATAATTACTAGTAACACTGAGGTAGCAAGAGACTCCCACACTTAATTTGTGTTTAGCACATTTTTCTATCTGGCTACATATTTTCTGTTTTTAACTATACAGTATTAACTTGTAGACTATAGAGTTAAGTATTTATGCTGCTTTTAATATAAATAATATAGAAAAAACAGTACTTGACTCTATTATAAATAGTCTCTCGGTTCTGGGGTACTTAGGAGAACCTAATTATTGGCCAGTTCCATCCCTTTAATGGCCAAATCTTAATATCTGGGAGGAAATAGGCAGTATCTATAGCATACTTGGCGACTTCCTATTAAACCAATGTCTCACCAACCATACTAAATTTAAATGATATTGAAATTAGTGAATTTCAACAATGAGTTAGATTTAACCAAAGGCAGGAGAATCCCTTATGTTAGAAAACTAACCATGGATGATGTACAGACTTCCTGGTATGAAGTTCAAAGATTTTAAATCACTGGGCCCCAATCTTAACACCAATTTTCCTGCTCGGTATTCTTTAATTTAAATACAATATAGACTACCTCTCTCCCTATTACAAACATGACAATCTCACTTCTATTTCTGTGACTTCATCAGATCTTTTCATTTTGGAATGCTTCTTGTCACCCCATTCAGGGATTAAGGTTTACCTCTAGCTCAATCTCTTTTCCAGAGGTTCTAAATGATCTGGTCCACTATAATTCCTTTATTAGCGCTCCCATAGTATACGTCATTGATATACCATTCCTCCTACTAATATTTTAAAACTATTATTTAAATTGTCACATGTGATTAGTGGCAATCATGTTGGACAAAGTAGGTCTATAATCACCCAGACAATATGATGAAACTTGTGGAGTAGAAGATCAAAAAAGAAGAGGAGGAGGAGGAGGGAGGGGGATAAAGAAGAAAGAAAAAAGAAAAAATCCACCTAACAGAAGTGATAAAGCTATAAAGAAGCAGAAACAGCAGGGTGTGGTGGGGCATGCCTGTAATCCCAACAATTTGGGAGGCTGAGGCAGAAGGATTGCAAGTTCAAGACCAGCCTCATCAATTTAGCAAGGTCCTTAGCAACTTAGTGAGACCCTGTCTCAAAATTTTAAAAAAGAGTGGGTCTGGGGATGTGGTTCAACGGTTAAGCACCCCTGGGTTCAATGGTTCAATCCTTGGTACAAAAAAAAAAAAAAAGCAGAAACAGCTGTGAGGAGAAAGAATATTGAGAAAATCTTCAGGCTTAGGGTTACTGTAGTCAGCTGATTTGCCTCCCCCTCTTGGGTTCTGACAATAGCAGTTTTCCTAAAAGTTACAAGGGTACATTTCTATGGTGTATGTGTTTCATATTGTTTTGAGTACTAGTAATTGAATTAGCAGTGTGAACTGCTAAAAAATCATATGATTAACCTGCTTTACTATTAGTTCTATATGAATTGTCAATCCTTAGCATGATCAAAGGGAAAAGGGAAAAATATGAAGTAAAAATAAATGTGAAAAAAATGAAAATGAATAGGGAGGAGAAATAAAAGTTCCTTTCAATAGCAAGAGTACCACTGGCACTGCCCAACTGTAAAAGCCATGTTCAAATTGTTAATCTTTTCATTTCCTGAACAAATATTCACTGAGCATCAAATATATGTC